CATATATATTTTGACAGCATGGTGTCTTTTGAATACTTTTTATTTTTAAAAGATTGCTTATGATTGGCAAAACGTTTTTTCCATTCACCTTCTGTTATGCCAATATATTGTTTATCAGGTACATTCTTAGAGGAAACAACACATTTATATACCACATTTTTTGATAAGCAACTTCCACTCATTGGACAATTGTTTTTTTGTTTACAACTACAATTTTCTGTAGTTTTTTCATTTTGAATTTCTTTTTTGTTTAACAAAGCATTGTTGTGACCTTTTATAATTCTTTTCATATTTTTTGTGCAACTGTAGCTAACTTTAATAGTATTTCGATTAAAATATTTTATGTAATTTATTAGAGGGCGGGAAATGCTTATCGATCAATTTTAAAAACACTTTTCCTATGTTTGTGGAAACATTTTTGCTATATGGGGGGTTGAACCAAATTACATTTCTAGTTCTATTTTGCTTTTTTGTATTCTTTTTTTCAGGGTCAAATTTTAATTCAAAGTTTTCAAAACCACTTTTTTTAAGAGCATCTTCAAATATCTGTTTGGAGGAATTGAATACATTTTCATTAGAGGAGTTTTGGTTAAGCCTGCTATTAATTGAAATCGGGATTTGTTTTAGAATTTGGGGTGGATGATTTGATATATAATAATTCATCGTTTGGTTTCTTGAAAGGCTTATATGTATTTTCCGAGAGGTTAAATGTGACATGAAGAAAGTTCACAATTTTTTAAATTTATGTTTATTTCAATTTGAAAGCCAATATTTTTAAAAATTTTTATAATATCTTTTCTAATTTTATCAAGCTGTGGACCAGATTTTTTACGCATTACTATTAAACCATCGTTGTGATAAAGGCCTAAATCATTTATATTGATTATTTTACTTAATAAATCTAAAATATATAATCCAACAAATTCACAAATTTCTGCTCCATCATAACTGCCCATTGTTACATCAAAGCAGTTATGTATGTTTTTCTTTTTCCAAGTTTCCTCATTAAAATAAAGTAAGGTTTTTCTACAATGTTTTATTATGCAAATTGTTTCTTCAGGAATAACTGTGTGGCTTTTTGCAAATTCAATTGTTTTATCTAAAATATCTGCAGTTAATGAGGGGTAAAAATCATTAATATCAAATTGAATAAATGTACAGTCATTTTTATTATCGATTATGGAGAACCAATTTATAACATCAGTGGTATTTTTCCACTGTTGCAAATTTAATTTATTTCTAAGAATATTATTAATTTTGTCCAATTTAATTTTGCTTACATGTCCAATCTCACTTTTTGAGGGAACCAATAACCTACAAGGAAGTTTGTTTTGAAAATTTGGTTTATGGTCTTTCAGTGTTACAAAGGCTTGGGCAGGAGCAGTTGATTTGATTCTGTTATCAAGGCTTATTTTTTTAGCAATACTTTGCACTTCTAAATTAATTGCATTTTCCAAATTTTTAGGGCTTTCTCATAAAAACTAGTAATATTGTCGCGTAAAATTTTTTCATAGTTTTCTGTTGTAAGTTGGTAAATGTTATTTGTTTTATCAGCAAAAACCAAAATATTAGGGTTTGATTTAATTTTTTAACATCTAACTTTAATTCTGTTTGAAATTTGTTTTTTATAGCTCAAAACTTTATTGTTTTAATTAAATGCAATAGGTCATTTTCAAAATTTTCCAAATCAGGTATGAAAGGTGGGGTATTTTTTGTTTTAAATCCATAATTATCATTATCTTGGTTATTATTAAATACATCATCTGTATTTGTATTTGGTTTTAAGAAAAAATCCGCTTTCCAACGAATTCTTTTTATAAAATGCTCAACTTTTTCAATCAAAGAAATAGTATAACTTTTTTCATCTAGTATAGGTATATTTTTCAAGGAGTAAATGAAATTATTAGTTTCCATATTCACACGGAATATTAAAATACAATTAAGAGTGCTCAACAAATGTTAATAAGGAGCCTAATATATATTTAAACAATTTAAAATGTATTCTACAAAAAGAGTGCTCAATATATATGTTTATTAAACAAAAAATCGGAATTGATTTCTAAATGCAGGCACGAAAATAAGTTTCTCCTAAAAAACTATAAAAATAAGTGAGCTCAAATAATAGTTACATTAACTCCCCTTTGAAAAAAAAATATATATTATTTTTTAAAAAAGCTTAAGTAATCATTTCTAAAGAATTCTTTTTACAATAGTGTCAGCAAATTACACAAATGTGTGAAAAATTGCAGTAGTTAAGACATGTGACTTCCTGTAACTTAATTTTTGGTATAAATTGAAGTTTTATTAATTTGATCATTCATTTCTGATGAGTCTTTATTGATGAAACACAGTGTTAAATAAGAAAAAATTTTGCTAAGTGATTTTCTACTAATATATATATATATATATATATATATATATATATATATATATATATATATATATATATATATATATATATATATATATATATATATATATATCTTTAAATAAAGATAAATATAGAAATATATATATATATATATATATATATATATATATATATATATTTTCTATAAATAAACACAGCCAGATTAAAAAAAATTTAATTATAGATAATTTTTATACATATCTTTAAATAAAGATAAATATAGAAATGATTGGTTGGGTGAACATCTGTATTTTGCTGATCCAGACAGCTAGGATATATATATATATATATATAAAGAAAAAGTATTAAAAAGGTTGATGTAGAATAGACTTACAAAACCTGTTTTTTTACAGGTCAGCTAGCAATATATTATTACTAGAGATGTACTGGAATTTCATTCCAGCTAGAAATCCAGCCGAAATTAGTGAAAAAATAAATAAATTTCTTAACAAAAACAACTTTATTTGCAGTAATCAATTATATAAGGATTTCTAAAAGTTTTGGATAGCAACTGCCTCTTATTTGAATTGTTACTAATTTGAATTGTTACTTAAACAATTAAAAAATATAGGATTTACATTAAATATTACAGTATATATAGAAAACAAAGAAATAATTTTAAATATAAAAGTTATGCAGGTTTAAACTTTTAATAAATAAATTATAAGAAACAAATAAAAACAACATATTAGATTTAAATGAAAAAAGAATCAAGTTACTAAAATAGGTTGTATATATATATATATATATATATATATATATATATATATATATATATATATATATATATATATATATATATATATATATATATATATATATATATATATATATATATATATATATATATATATATATATATATATATAGATAAGATAAGACGATACTGAGGTGCAGACTTTCACTTTCAATCTTGAAGGTGAAAAATAAAATAAATATAGTTCTCATTCCGGCCAGAACCGGATTTGCTGGAATTGTTAATGAAAATTCCAAATTTCCAATCCAGTACTCCTACTTATTACTACAAAAATTAAAGTGACATAAAGAGACAAGGAGGAAAAATAAAGGGACATGAGGAGGACAAAGAAAGGGGCATGAGGTATACAAAGATCACATTTTTTTAATTCTTTTTTCATTAGTTCTTAAGGAGCTCCAAAAAGAAACATAATAGTTTTATCACAGAACACAACAGATAAGCCTTTAACTAGGAAGTTCATGCCTTTCTTACAAATATTGTGGCCAGAGCAGTGAATCCTAAAACCTATTGGTTCTGAGCCAGACCTCTAACCACTGCACAACGACTTTAATTTTTATAATACTATTATAAAATATATTTGTTGTAAATACTGTAAATAATACTTTTACACATACTGGCATTACATTGTACCATTACAGGTTTATTACAAAATTTTTTTAACTATAAAGTACCACCAGATATAAAAAACATTTAACACATTATGTGTAAGGTGTAACGACTTATGTGTAAGGTATAACAATTTATGTGTAAAGTGTAAAAAATCATATGTAATGTTATTTTTAGTGAACGAAAACCATTACTCTTGGGCACAACTGATTTAAGAGTTGTTAAGAGGCTATAATTTAGTCTCTAAAATCTATAACTTATTAGTCATAACTTATTATAGGTCTATAGGTATCTAAAACTTATAATTTATTAGAGTATTTATAGGTATCTAAAACTTATAGGCGATGATTGTGCACAGCTCTGTTAAACAGTTTAACTGACTGTTCTTCAATCTTGTTCTTCTATACTAAATAATAAATAATAATAACAAATGTACTGAATTTGTTAGTATCTTAAAATTTTTTTTTGATATTTAACCTTTCTATTATATTCTTTGTTTAATTAAAGAGTTTTATGTGTGCTAGTATGCGCTTTTGACACGCAATTTAATTTAAGGCTTGCATGTACCTTGATTTAATGTTAATATATTTTGGTTCATAAAACCTAAATTTTTAAATATAAATAGTTGTTTAAGTTCTCTAAAAGGAACTTAAAATCTCTTAAATGAGTCCATGGCATTGTATGGGTGTTTATTGCATGTAAAAAATTTTAGGTCCATATTTGAATTTCTTGGCCTCAAAAACCTTTATTTTGATGTTAAGTATTTATTTAAATCACACTTATCTAATAGTTTGGTATTTCCTTATGTTTTTAACCTTACTGTACATTGAAGCAAACTCATCTAATTTCTTTAGAACTGTCAGAAATATAATAAAAAATTAAGAAAATTATATATAAATAATAAATGAAGTTTAATTGTAAAGTATATTTCTTATTCATTTTTTTATACAACTAATCAAACAATCAATCAAAGCATTCCACCAACCAACCAAATCAATCATAATTATTTAACCAATCAAATAATGCAATACTAATCATATTAATACAAAATTTAGTAACACATGATCAATTACATATTACAAATTCTCTAAAAACCAAGAATTTTTTATAAAGCTCAAGATTATAATGGGGATTATGATGGAGATTTCAGGCACATTATCTAGATTATTAGCAACATACTAAAGGTTCTTTTTTATAAAAAAATAACTAAAAAAGAAAAATTCTTACTGTCTCTTTATCAACAACAGTTTTTGATAAAATTGAATATATAGTAGATTGGTATTCTTTGATGTAACTTTTTATAAATACTTCTAATTTTAGTCCATTCCTTGCAAGGACCATACCATAAATGAAATCATATTTGATCATTCCTTGAAACTTAAAGTTCGAAAATTCTTTTTGATACTCTCTAGCAATTAATGTGTCAAGTAATGCTCCATCAATTTTACCAATAGTTAATGCTTCAATAATATCAGCAACAGAATGATATCCTAAAATTTCAAAACAATTTTAAAATTTTTAAATTGCCATGAAAATTTTTCAAGTAGAATTTTCATGTATATTTTTTTATTGTGGGTTTCTACTTCAATTAATATAATTCTGGTTATCTTACATATATAGCATTTGTATATACTTTTTTGATGCTGTTTGTTGTTCTTGATTACTCGCAAAACTAAAGGGATAATAAGGAACTGTTTTGAACTAACTTACAAGACCTAAGTACATCTCAAGGTAAATATTAGTTGATAAATAACTACATCCTAACTATAGTAAGTTTTTAACTTTTACATTTATGTTTTTGGTTGCCTAATGCTTTTTTAACTATTATCAATTAATTATCTACATTTAGTTATAAGTATGTAAGCTATAAATTAGTATTTATAAATTATTATATATTATATACTTTATGCAAAAACTAATGGTTGCAAGCACTAAAGAAGCAAAACGATTAAACAGACTACAATAGTCAAGATGTTGTGAATAAAGCAATTGATTGTTGTGAATAAAGCAATTAAAGGCTTTTTATTTTCACAATTATTTGTGTTTAAAACTTGCAAAACCCTGCTCTAAATATTAAAAGCCGCTTATTCTAAAGTTTAAATTGTTGTATAAATTCAGATAAGTAAACAAAATAATATAGAATATATTAAAACATAAATTACTTGACACCACATTGTGGACATATATAGAACTATTTTTTGCATTGATATTTTTAATTTAAAAAAAAAATTGTTAATTTAAAATTTGATCTTAAGTAAAATTTATATTTTTATGCCCCCCCCTCCCTCTTGCTCTTACCTTACAACAACCATATAATTAAATGGAAAATTAATTAAATAACTAAATGTCCATTTATTTTAATTGATTTAAATTGTTGTTTAAAAAACAAATATACAAACCAATAACTTTAGCGTTTCTTTCAAACCCCAGTTGAAATTCTGTACTGTTAATAATTGCCCCAATTTTTAAACCATGCAGATTTTCAGTATTACTATTTAATGGTGGCATCATCACAACAGCGATACAAGCAGTAATCATAGATACCATTATAAAGCTCATTAACATCCACATTATTCCAAATATTTTTGAAATTGGATTTCCTGGCGATTTGTTAACATTAACACTTTAAAAATAAATAAAAATGAATATTACTAATTTTAATACATGTTTTGACTCATTGGCAGACTGGCCCCAGGGAGCACCAAGAGAACTTCCTGTAGGCCGGAATGAATTTGGGCCGGTGGGCCGGTGACCCAAAATAAATTAATCCCAGGAGTTAAGTTATTTTAAAATAAGGCAAAATGGATTAACCGAGGCTTAAATATTTCTAACCCCCATTGTAATAAATTAACCCCTTCATAATTGTTTTTTAAAATAATTTAGCTTATAGTAAGTTGTACAATATTGCGGAAGTAGTTTAATATATTTTATAAATATATATCTTCAGTTAGTGTTGAATAAAATAATTTTATAATATATATATATATATATATATATATATATATATATATATATATATATATATATATATATATATATATATATATATATATATAAATATTTATATATATATATATATATATATATAATATATATATATATATATATATAAATATATATATATATATATATATATACATATATATATATATATATATATATATATATACATATATATATATATATATATATATATATATATATATATATATATATATATATATACATATATATATATATATATATATATACATATATATATATATATATATATATATATATATATATATATATATATATATATATATATATATATATATATATATATATATATATATATATATATATATATATATATATATATATATATATATATATATATATATATATATATATATATATATATATATGTGGGCAATTCCGCTTTTCAATAAAAAAAAAAAGTTATGAAAACACATACTAAACTCCAAAACTTTTTTTTTTAACTATTTAAAAATACCTTTAAGCAAAAAAGTTATTTAAAAAATCATTTTATCATACCATAGCATGGTTTTAAAGTTGTTAGAGTTGTATAAACATGTTTTGACACTTATTTACAGCCCTGTTGTGTAGTGTTAAAATTCGTACCGTATATCCATAATTGAAAACTTTGATAATGTTTTATTACATTTTTTAACATATTATATATGGTTGTTAATAATTATTTATATTTTTTTTCTTACATCATTGATTGTATTGTTATATTTGTTGTTTTTAAGCATTGGATTTTTCGTTATGACCGTCATGGTTATGACTGTCACGACAAAAAAACACAAAAAAGCTTGTAATACTTATATTATATATATATATATATATATATATATATATATATATATATATATATATATATATATATATATATATATATATATATATATATATATATATAATATAAGTATTACAAGCTTGTAATACTTATATTATATATATATATATATATATATATATATATATATATATATATATATATATATATATATATATATATATATATATATATATATATATAATATAAGTATTACAAGCTTGTAATACTTATATTATATATATATATATATATATATATATATATATATATATATATATATATATATATATATATATATATATATATATATATATATATATATATATATATATATCAATGTTGATAAAAAGTAGAACTCTTTTTAATAAATATGTATGCAAATGCATGAATATAACTCTGTTAGACTTGTTGGAACATCAGTTACCAACATTTTCTTTTATAATGGAAATAGATATTTTGACAATTTATACAGTTTTTATTTTATTATAATTTTTCTTTTGTAAATTTTATCTCGCTTTTCCAAGTCTAAATATGTTTTAGTGAATTTGAATCTAATATAGAAACATTTTAATTTAATATCTGTAACATTGTTTCCAATTGATTAGTTATATACAAATAATAAAGAAATTAAAGTCTATAATTTTGTTTTGTTTCATAAACTAGTAATTACTTGAATCTCAAACATTTATTTTTTATTTTGCATAAAGTTCTAAATCAATTAATTATATCATTGTGTTCTAGTAGCAATTTTTTTTGTTTAGATTTAGTTGAAATCAATTAAAAGTATTAATTAATGTTCTGCATTATTATCCCAAATTCATGAATAAGATTAAACTTTAATAACTTATGATAACTTTAAAAGGTGGCAATGTCAAATCAGCAGGTATTGACCTGAAATTTGAATAAGGGTTATATCTTGTTAAGCCAAATGGGAAAATTACCAGGGAACTCGTATTTTTAAAAAATAAATTTCTGAACACCCTATAGAAATATCATAACGCTGATAATGCTGTTTCTTTAATGTATAAGATCAAGTGAACAAGTGTAGAAGTGATATATATATATATACATATTATATCCATATGAATAGCTAATTAACAGATTTAAAAACAAAAACAATTGGAAAACATCAAGTTTGAAATATTTTTTTTTTTTCGTAATTTGTTTAAGTTGTTATTCCAAGGGAGTTAAAATATTATGGGGAGTTGATTTTTGCCGACAGGGCAAAACAAATCAAGTGTCAGGTCAGGAGTATGGTCTTCATGATCATCCTGCTACTGGTAACATGTAACCCAGTGCAACCTGTTCCATGTTCTGCTGCCTTGCAGGATTTGCTATCTAAGCAAAGGCTGGAAGGAGTGTTCTTCCTGTCATCAGTACTATCTTATATCAGTCATGCCTATAGTAATTTTTTTTTTTTTTTTTTTTTTTTTTGTACATATAGTTTGAGGTGCCTTAGTTACTGTATTAGCTCACCTGTAATCTACGTTATATGTATGTTTGTGTTCTGTGAGAACCTCTGGTGCGGTGTTCGCTCACCCGTAAGTTACTTTATGTTCTTTATGTATGTCTGTGTTCTGTCTGAACCTCTGGCGCGGTGTTCGCTCACCCGTAAGTTACTTTATGTTTATGTTTATGTTTTTTATGTTTTTTTATGTATGTTTGTGTTCTGTCTGAACCTCTGGCGCGGTGTTCGCTCACCCGTAAGTTACTTTATGTTTTTTATGAATGTTTGTGTTCTGTCTGAACCTCTGGCGCGGTGTTGACTCACCCGTAAGTTGATTTATGTTTGTTTGTGTTCTGTTTATACTCTAATGCAGCGTGAGCTCAGTAACTAACTACTTACTCCAACTACAAAACGTACACTCACCTTAGACTCCTGTATTTTGTTAGATGCAGTGTTTTTCCTAATGCACTTCCAAAATGTCATGCCTGGTTTTCTCAAAGTACTGTTGCGGGAAGTAACTCCTTTTAACTACTCCAGGTCAGGTCAGGATAATCGAGATCAATCTTGCTACTGGTATCACGTCTTATGCACAGGCTAGGAGAAATAAACTCCGACTAAAAATTCCCCTCTTGGTTGAGTAAAGGCTAGAGATGGTGTCTCGATAAAAACACTCATCTTGGGCAGATGTTAACTGCATCTAGCTAAACATCCCCTGCCTTGGGGCCTTTTGGTTGACTGGCTGGCGTAGATGTAACCTGTGTTACATTGTTTCCTGCCTAGGATGATGAATGCTGGATCTCCTTGACTCTACTCATAGAATTTTGCTTATGCCTCCTTGATAATGGCTATGCAACTCTTCTTGTTATCTCCATATGAGGGTACAGCTCTAAAACTCAGTTTAATGGTTCTGAGGCCAGCTGGTAGTAAGGTTTCCCGAACTCTGTGGTAGCTCTCAGAGAGGCTGATTCCATCAACAGCTGCAAAATATCAGAGTATTAACAGTGCCATGTTGCGCATGGATGGTGTCCCTGTTAATGCTTTTGGTGTGCATTGTCAAGGCCACATAAGGAGCCCTATGTCACGGCTTAGCGTTAATTAACAGGACTGAGACAACTGCATAGCTCATTGATTAGGAGGCTGTGCTCTATCTATGAATGAGTCTAGTTCTCATTAAACCCAAATCATGACCAAAGTAACCAAAAATTTAAAACCTAAAAAACCATCTCCACCACCTAAATATTTTAATATATTTTTTACAAATATTCGCAGTCTACGAAGCAACTTTCCATCAGTTGAGTCTTACCTCCTGCAAAATTCACCAGACTTGCTTGCACTCAGTGAAACAAATTTAAGTTCTGCAATTCCTTCTTCAGATGTCAGTGTTGATGGGTACTATCCTTTGATTCGTAAAGACTCCAATAGTCACATGCTAGGTTTAGGGGTATACATACGCATTAATTCCCCTATTTGTCGTGAAATCAGGTTCGAATCCTTTGACCATTCTTTTATGTGCTTTCGCCTAGCACCTCTTCACTCTATCACCTTTCTCTTTGTTCTTTATCGTTCTCCTTCTTCCCATGATTGCACTCTTTTAGATGTTATCTCTGATCAAATTGACCATGCCCCCTCTCTTTACCCCTCTGCCAATATTGTTGTTGTTGGTGATTTTAATGCCCATCACACTGAATGGCTTGGCTCTAACACCACTGATCCTGCTGGCACTAAAGCCTTTAACTTCTGCGTTTCTCAATCTCTTACTCAGATAGTTAACTTTGTGACTCGCTTTCCTGACAACCCTAATCATTTACCTTCACTCCTTGACTTATGTCTTGTCTCTGACCCTAGCTTATGTTCAGTTTCTCCCTTTTCTCCCTTAGGTGGTTCTGACCATGCAATGATCTCTATAAATCTTTCTTCTCGTACTTCTTTTTTGGGCTCACCTTATCATCGCACCACCTACTACTACCCTAAAGCTGACTGGGATTCCTTTCGTGATTTTCTTCGTGATGATCCTTGGTCTGATGTTTTTTCTCTCTCAGCTGACAAATGCGCCTTCTACATAACCTCCTGGATTCAGGCTGGAATGGAAGCTTTTATTTCTTCGCGTCAGTTTCAAGTCAAGCATCATTCTACTCCATGGTTTTCTCCTTCTTGTGCGGCTGCTATATCCAATCGTAATCATTTTTTTCATCTTTTTCAAAAGAACAACTCTCTTGAGAACAAACGGCTATTTATTATTGCAAGAAATCGATGTAAAAAGGTGCTTTCTGATGCTGAACTCCATTATTCTCAATTCACTAAATCTCGCATCATATCGCAGAAGTTAGGCTCTAAAGACTTTTGGAAAATCTTCAACAGCATTATTAACAAGGGTAGATCTAACATTCCATCTCTCATTCATGGGACTGATCTTTTTGCAAATGAACTATTTGCAAAGAACTTTTCTTCTAATTCCACTCTTGAATCTTATGGACATTCTCTTCCTTCCATTCCAGTCAAACAGGTTGACCCATTGTTAGACATTCAAATCTTTCCAGCTTCTGTTGCTAAAGTCATATCTCAATTAAACTTGTCTACAGCTTGTGGTCCAGACAACATTCCTGTCACAGTCTTGCAGAATTGCTCTCCAGAACTTTCTTCAATTCTCTCTAAACTATTTAACAAGTGTTTGACTGAGTCTTGTTTTTCCTGCTTGTTGGAAAATGGCATCTGTGGTTCCAATATTCAAAAACTCTGGAGAAAATTCTGACCCTCCAATTATCGTCCGATCAGTCTTCTTTCTGTTATTAGCAAGGTCTTTGAGTCTTTGATCAACAAATTCCTCACATCTCATCTTGAGTCAAATAAACTGCTGTCAGACAATCAATACGGTTTTCGATCCTCTCGCTCTACGGCCGACTTGCTAACTGCTGTAACTGAAAGATTTTATCGTGCATTAGATGGAGGCGGTGAGGCTAGGGCTATTGCTCTCGACATATCTAAAGCTTTCAACAAAGTTTGGCATGCTGGTCTTCTCCATAAGCTTGCTTCATATGGTGTTTCTGGGAAAGTTTTTGAGATTATCAAATCATTTCTTTCTAACCGGTTTATTAAAGTCATCCTTGAAGGCCAACACTCTTCTTTATTTCCAGTAACTTCTGGGGTTCCCCAAGGTTCCATCCTGGGCCTTGTTTTGTTTCTTATCTACATAAACGATCTTCCTGACAACCTTTTATCTAAAGTAGCTCTTTTTGCTGATGACTCAACTTTATACTCCTGTCTTGACAAAAAGTCTTCTCTTTTCGATCGCCCAAAACAAGCAGCTGATCTTGAATTTGATCTCATTTCAGTTATAGATTGGGGTTCACAGTGGCTTGTGAATTTCAACTCTAAAAAAACCCAATTGCTTACTGCAAACAACTACCGTAATATGGTCAACATTCCTATATTAATGAATGGCAATCCTCTTACTGAGTCCTCCTCTTTACGTCTTCTTGGATTATGGCTTACTACTGACCTTTTATGAAAACCATATATACAATCGATTGCTAAATTAGCTTCTGCTAAGGTTGCTTCTCTTTATCGTGCTCGCCATTTCCTTACTTCTGATTCCATTCTCTACCTCTACAAATCTCTTATTCGTCCCTGTATGGAATACTGTTGTCATATTTGGGCTGGTTCTTCTAATGATTCACTTTCTCTTCTTGACAAGGTCCAAAAACGCATTGTAAATGTTGTTGGACCTGGACTATCTGCTAAGCTTGAACCTCTTTCCCATCGTCGTAAAGTTGCATCTCTTTCTCTTTTCTACAGATACTATCATGGTCACTGCTCAAAGGAGTTATCATCTCTAGTTCCATCAACTAAAATTCATTCTCGTTTTACTCGTCATTCAGCTAAGTCTCATTTGTTTACTGTATCTGTCCCTGCATGCTCTAAAAACTTTTATTCATCTAGTTTTTTTCCCCGCACTTCAATCCTTTGGAACTCTCTCCCATCTTCATGTTTTCCTGACTCATACAACCTTCAACTTTTCAAGTCTTCTGTCAACCGTTTCCTTGCTCTATAACTCTGTTCTTTTTTTTTCCTAGTAACTCCCAACTTAATAGTGGTTGCTTGCAGCCTTGTTGGGAGTGAATGCAAATAAAAAAATAAAAAAAAATAAAAACTCCCTATAATATTTTAACTCCCTTGTAATTTATTTCAAGGGGCAGTTAATCTATTTCAAAATAGATTAACTCCCCGGGTAATGTTTTACGCTACGGGAGTTAATTTTTTTGGGGGGTTAATTTATTTCATAACATCGGCTTAAATCAGGTTGGTCGAAAATCAGGTTGGTCAAATTTTTTTCTTCAAAACTTATCTAATTAGAATTTTTTCAGGTTTTATCAACTTTTAACTCGTTTCTATACTTTCTTTTTCTTTGATGTGGGCCAGACAAATGTAAAATTCCCAAGCCGATTTCAGGTCTCAGTTGTTTTGTTTTGACTATAATATAATGATTCTTAATTAAGATATAATAAGGCGTGTGAAAAACATAATAAAGAAATAAAAATATTAAAATATATTAATATAAGAACAAATTTCTTATAAATTAAAATAGAATATAAGAAATAATAGAGAGCATAATAAAAAAGCAATTAAAAACAAAACAAATATCATATAAGCAAAAAAGTAAAAGATAAAAAAGCTAATGATATTAAAATATTAAATTGAAAAAATTTTCACACATTCCACTTGTTTATTAACACTGGTTTTTTTTTCTATAGATTTTAAATTATTTGTTGTCAATAAATTCAGGATGTAAACCCTGATAAAGCTACTTCCCATCTAAAGATGCAATAATAAAAAATTAATTGAATAATTTGATTTAAAAAATGTGTAGAGATAAAGTTATAACTGACCAAACATTAGTAAGTATAGCAATAGTCCAACAAAAACCTTGGTATGATCCTTTGAAAAACTCGTTTGAAAAACTTGGTCTGTATTTGCTTGAACTGTCTTTAAGTTGCTTAGATAAAATATCCTGTATTACAAAAATATTTCAAAAACAACTTTTAAAAATAAAAATAAAAAAATATATAGTAAAGTGGGGTACCATGAAAGAGATATCTAGTGTAGAGTGTGATAAACATGCTTAAACATATAGGTAAAAGTGTCATAAATGTTTAGAAAAAAAAAGTTAGACTTTAAGTTTAATACACAAGAGAGTTCCCAATGATGATAATACACAATGTGTATTATTATTGTTGGCAACTCTCTTTTGTATTACACATGACCATGTGCACTATGATAACCATTATGGATAATCATAGTATCAGTTTCAAGATTACACTTAATGTGGTTTTTTAATTTAAGTTAATTATTGAATACTAATTATGTTGTGACTTTTTCTAAAAAATCATTTTAAAGGTCAAAAATGAATTTTGAACACTTTAATTAGGGCACTAGTAGCCAGCTATTGCTTATTAAAATTGTCTAGAATGATAATGACAGATTAGAAAAAAATTAGGTGAACAAGAAAAAGGTCTATCAAGTTTAAAATTTGATGAAAAAGTGATCAATAGTACTCTGTTCAGGATATAGGACGCAGAAATTCCTTGGAAGATCCCAACATCAATTCAGCAAAAGCTGAAATTGTGATTAAAAACTACTATAAGATAAGCTTCAAAGAAACCAAAGGTGCATTATGATAGTTAACAAAGTTTATGACAAATTTGACTTTCAACACTCCCAAACAAGCAATTTTATACAACCCAAGACAGAATGACATTTGATGCTTTGCCAACAACAATTAAAACTAAAAACGATTGTAAAAAAAGTTATGGTTAGGAAAGCTAACTTTTCCTGTGGTTTTTATTTGTAATTTTTTTTTTTTTTAACTTTAAATTATTTAAAATTTATTTTATAATAATGTTAAACAAACTTATTATTTAAAACTTTAAAAAATTAATAATTTGTAATTATAAAGTAATTTTTCTTTAACAGAAATTAAAGAGTTAGACTTGGCATGCATCAATTGTCAATTTTAGACTAAAGATCAGGTCTTTATGCACAAACTAAAGCTTGTATCATCACCTGTAATGTTTGACAAACAGCTAGGCAGAGTTCCAGCAATAAACTTGAAATAAATAAGTATTATTCTCATCATTTGAAAAATATTAAAACTTCTCTTCAACAGCTTTTTTCTTTAATCCCAGTGCCTCCGGGATATAGTCTACAATAAATAATTTTTAAAAGTAAGCTTGTTTAATTTAAAAAAATTAAATACTTGCTTTAAAGATGCTTTTGGCAGCCCTTCATTTGATCAGGGAATATCTACAACCAGATCCAACTTTTCTTTCAGAAGCTTCGAGTTTATCATTATTATTATTTTTGCATTCTATTTAATCTGTTAGGCCAGGTATTTATTATAGCTGATGTATTTGAAGCACTTCATAAACCCGATTATACAATTTTCCGAGGCCTGAGTAAATCTTAAAAATCAACTAGTTTTAGTCTGTGGACATTCTTATTAAATATTTTAATGAAAAAAAGGTGATTCCAAAACCTTTATTGTTGGGGATTTTTGTAACAGTAAAATATAAATTCAAAAGTAACCATTTCATGTCAAAGGAATTTTATTAAAAATTTCTAATTTAATAATAAAAAAAAGTTTCTAATGGCCATTAACAAGTTTTCATTATCTTGGTTAATCTTAAATTTGATGCCAAACTCTCATTCTTAGAATATTATTATACAAGCTTGGGATGGTTTGTAATGTTCACTTATGCTCAATAGTTTTTACCAAAAATCTTTATTTTTTATAAAGATATTTGCTCTTATTACAATATATGTTGATGTTGCAGCTTTACAAGTACATTCATTATTGCATTCTTGCATTATATATATATAGAAATTATATTTGTGAGTGATAAGTAAAATGCAGATATAAAAGAAATTAAGTTGAAGTTAATTTTTTTTATTCGCATGTGTATTAAGTTACCTTGTTTTTATTCACATGTGTAAGTATCCTTGTTTTTATTCACATGTTTATTAAGTAACCTTGTTTTAAAAACTAAAGTGTCAAAAAAGCTTCTACCTTATCAGAGCTAGAAAAAAAAGGTTCTGATTTGACAGAGTTAGAAAAAAAAGGTTCTGATTTATCAGAGTTAGAAAAAAAAGCTTCTGACTTAGCAGAGTTAGTAAAAGACACAAAAAATGTCATCAACATATCATTAAAAGTAAATAAATGCAACATGGATGATTAATACTTGTTTTATTCCAAAATGTTGTAAGCTCCTAAAATGACTAATAATATGGACTGTCAGACCAAAATTTCAAAGAAAAACTTCACTACCTCATAAAAATAAATATTTATTATTCAAAGTTTCATCAATTTATTAACATCAGTTAAAGTTAGTTAGATAATGTTGTTTATTATTCAAAATATCAATAACAACTAAAAATGGGTGTATCAAACAAAACATGTGTACAAACTTGCTTGAAACTTGTTTGAGTTTTTCATTATTTTATTTTATTAGTTTATAACTACTATTACGATTCATTATTTATTTACAGTTATTATTATTTATTTAATGTTAATTAAATAAGGCTGAAAAACTGATTTGTTGGATCAGAGGTTGTTGATACATTATTTAACTTTATCTGAAAAAATTAAACAAAAAAGTTTTTCCCCTCAAGGAATGTCCATTTAATATTGGAAGAAATATTTAAAAAATTTAACTATGTTTTTATTCTCTATTGCTTATAGTTGTTCAAGTTTTGTAGTCTAAACTTTTTTGTATGTTCCAGCACAATAACTTCAAAGACAATAGAACAATTTATCAGTAATATATATATATAAACTTCCCTTTGTTAAGTTTTTAGGTTTTTTTGTTAAATTTAAAAGTTTAATAAGATTATGTAGCAATAACATCATTATTGTCATGACACCATTTTTGTTATGATATCAATTTTTAGTTTAAAAGCAACATTACCTATAAAAGCTAGCTAAAAGTATTTAACTTATTTGTGCACAATTACCTGCATAATTGCATATTAAGTATACTATATGAAGTATCGATTTGATTTTGCAACATGTTTAGAGAATTAAATTTAATTAAAAGTTAAGGCTGAAGATAAAAAGAAGAAAACAAAAAGGAGGATGAAAGTGAAAATGAAGAAGATGAAAAGAAGAATAAATTGAAGAATAAACAATAAGAAAATAAAGGGATGGTTAAAAGAGAAAAAAGAAAAAGACGAGAAGGAGGAGGAAGAAGTATTTAAAAGAGAATAAATAAAAGAAGATGATGGAGTCAAAGATAAAAGAGAGGATAAAGTAGACAATGTAACTTTTGCAGTAGACAATAAAGGAACAGAAAAAATGAAGAAGATATTGATAAAGAGTAAGAATAAATTAAAGTAGTAGATGAAAACAAATATTAAGTAGATGATTATGTAGAGAAAAAAATGTATAAAGAGCTAGTAGAAAAAATAGCAGAACAAATTCTAAAGTAATCTTTGAATAGATCATCTCTAAAATTTAATTTATTAAAATAAATTTATTTAAAAAAAAATCTCAATAACTTACAACAAACCAAATAGTTATACCAATCAAAACCATCAACAAAAATAAAGAAAACGGAATCAAAAAAATTTTGTAAAATCTTCTTGTTAAATAGTCGTCTTTCATAAAAAATGCTACTTTTGTTCTTTCAACTAAAATAATAGAAAATCAAATTAAAATTTGTTTCCTTCAGTTAAACATCACAATGTTTCATTAAAAACTTACTGATAGGAATGAATGGATATGGTAGAAATCTTTGATCTTCATAAAATCTTTGAAATTTTGAAAAAATAAAGTCTGTAGTATTTGACTGAGTTTTCATTAATAAATCTTTTGAATTGATTAAAGGCCTTTCAAAAAAAACATTTGAGCACTTCATGCAAACATCCTTAATTATTAAATCAAGTATATCTTTAATTAAGCCATTTACTTGGAATGAAGATAAATCAAAACTTATGTATGGTTTCTGTTCAATCCATGACACTAAATATTTTGTTTGACAATAAGAAGGACAATTATCAGCTAAAATAAAAAACAATAAACACAGCTATCAGTAATTACTATATGATACTAGTGATAATTACTACAATAAAACTACAATAAACATGTTCTGTTATGTATCCAAACAAAAGAACTTTAATTTAATACACATGTTGTCTTGGTAACTGATATAACATGTGTGTAATGTCCAAAACTATTATTAATAATAACTAAAATTACAGCTTTATTTTTTATACAGTCCAAAAAAAAAGTCATTGTGTTTGAACTTTATTTATTTAAATCAAAATTAAAATATATAGTTGATAACATTATGGTAATTATTTTTATAATTGTTAATATAAAAATTGTAAAAGGTTTTGTGTAATTAAGATATGTATTTGTATAAAGTTTTTTAAAAACGGCTTTTAAAAAACAAAAAACAATTAAAATGCACACATAATTGGTCAAACAAAATTAACTAAAGTCTAAGTTTTGTCTACTAAAGTAGACATAATGTAGACATAAATCTAAAAAAATGAAATAATAAAAACCCATTCAAACTGTGTGTATATATATATATATATATATATATATATATATATATATATATATATATATATATATATATATATATATATATATATATATATATATATATATATATATATATATATATATATATATATATATATATATACTTATATAAATATATATATATATATATGTATATATAATTATATATATATATATATGTATATATAATTATATATATATATATATATATATATATATATATATATATATATATATATATATATATATATATATATATATATATATATATATAATTATATATACATATATATATATATATAATTATATATACAAATATATATATATATAATTATATATACATATATATATATATTTATATAAGTATATATATATATATATATATATATATATCCTTATATCGTAGTCGAAAGAGACTTTAAGGGTAAAAAAAGTCTTTTTCGACTACAATTTTGTAAGCTGTATTTTATTGTCGCCGAAATGTCAAAGCAATTAAATTAATGCGGAAATACATTAAATTTTATTGTTTTTTAAAAAAACCGCAATAATAATAACTAGAAAGTTTTTTGTTGTTGTTTTATTAAAATATATTTTTAAAAAATGCGTGGAGCATTGCTACATTAACTATCTTATAGCCTACTGCTACAAGGGAGTGTTGCTACATCGACTATCTTATAGCCTGACTGGCAACGGAGTGCAGCTACATTGACTGACAAATAGCCTGACTCGCAAGGCAGTGCTGCTACATCAACTGACAAATAGCCTGACTTGCAAGGGAGTGCTGCTACATAGACTGAGGATTTGGTTTGGTCAGACAGTTGATCATTTAAGAAAAAAAAAAAATTAAGTTTTTAAACTTTTTCTGGTCTGGTATATTAACCTGCTCTTTAAAACTACAGTTTATAGAAAAAACTTTCTGACTACCATGCAAGACTATATATACGGTCGATGCTTTTAAAAACAGGCTATTCTAGACTGTTTTCGACAGCATCGACCGTATTTAGGCATTGATTTGGGCACTGATTTTAAAATTTTATGTTTTTGTACAGCAAATATTGTTTTTTTTCCACAAACAACGCCTATATATGGCAACATTTTCGCTTTCAACAATTTCCCCGGACGGAGGGAGGGGACTGCCACCCAACTTTTTTTCCAAAATAGCCCCTGTATGCTTGTAATATGTAATACATACACAAATAAATATATATAAAAATTTAAATATATATATAAATACAAGTTTATTTATATACATAAATGTCTATATATATAAATATATAAATATATAATTATATATATATATATATATATATATATATATATATATATATATATATATATATATATATATATATATATATATATATATATATATATATATATATATATATATACATGTTGATACACTTTATATATATATATATATATATATATATATATATATATATATATATATATATATATATATATATATATAAATATAAATATATATATAAATATAAATATATATATAAATATAAATATATATATAAATATGTTTTTTTTTCTCGTAAAAATAATAAATCTGTACAAAAGAAAATGAGTTAAAAAATCTAATCTTTTGATTTGTGGTTGTCCAGCAAAAACTTGTTCTCATGGCGACGTTTAGATATTAGCTCGCTTTTTTTGTTTAATAATTCTTGAGGATTTTTATACAATAAAATAATTAGTTTTTCGTATAAGCATAACAAGCATTTTTTGGTTATGTTATTGTACGTGGGGGCATATTTTATGATTGACCATTTTAAATTGGGTGTTGTTTTTGTTTTATTTTGTGTATCCCATATATATTTAGAAAGCGTGGTTGCATTTGTGAGTTTTTTATTTTTGAAGGATTGCTTGTGATTCGCCCATCTAGTTTTCCACATGCCATCTGTTGAACCAATGTATGTTTTGTCGGATGTGTTTGAGAATGATGCAATGCACTTATAAATTACATTTGTTTTTCTGCAATTTTTATTCATAGGGCAGATTTTGCTTAGTTTACAATTGCAAGCTAAAGTGGCCGTTGGGTTCATCGAAATAATTTTATTGTTGTGGTTCTTTATAATTTTTGATATGTTGTTTGTACAGCTGTAGCTGACTTTTGTTGTGTTACGGTTATATAGTTTATGAAGCGGATTTGGTTTTGGAAAGTGTTTGTCGATTAATTGTAAGAAGGTTTTGCCTATATTTGTGAGAACGTTTTTATTGTATGGTGGGTTAAACCAGATTATATTTTTTTTTCTTTTACGATTGGGGGTTACTTTGGTATCAATTTTAGGGTTGTATTTGAAGCTAAAAATTTTATAGTTAACCATGTCTACATGACATGTGGATGAAAAATGAGTTCTTATCTCTATTGGATCACCTTGCGCCAAATGATTTTTCAAATTAAAGCAAAAAAGTATAGGAAAATCAATCAAGCGCTAAAAAGTGCAGATTTTAGCGTGAATTGTTGAGTCCTAAAAAATGCTATGCAAGGTCCTTAACAATATGTACTTTAAATTTAAAAAATATACTTGCATATCTTGTCTCTAAAAACCTGTTGAGGGGTCAGAGCCCTAACTTTAATTTAAATGCAATTAACCATTTTATGATGCTATATAAATAATACTTTTGCTCACAGGCTTTTTTTGAGTACAAGTACAAGATTCGCAAATATTACAAAAATAATCTAAATACTGTGTCGTTTAAGAAGCGTGAATAATATTCTTATAAATCGGTACCAATAAGTACATTTGTACTTATAGGTACCAATTTATAAGTTTTTTATGCATTTTTATTCAATTGTTTTCAATCTTTTTTTCTTAATGCTTTTTTCTTAACTTTCATAAATGCAGCTTGTAAGTCATGAACAGTTTATCTTTTTTTATTAAAACTTTCATGAGTTAACTCAAATATTCAGTTTCTTAGTTTAGTATAATTTTATAACTAAAAATATAAACCCTGAATACAGAGGGAATCCTTTTAGAAAATACTGAAGTTCTAAAACAAAATATGAAGTAAAGAGAAAGTAGGAAAGGAATACTTCTTAGTCGGTAAACCAGCGAAGATGCCCTCAGTTCAACTTCTAACCCGGGCTGAAGTTATTAAGCATTTCCTCTACTTGAAGAAAAAGATTGGTTCCAATTCCGAAAAAAAGCGACTTGTTGCTTGCCCTTTAAGTAACAGTTTCAGGTTACTTTATACATTTTACATTTGACAAGACTTTACATTATTTTATAAAATTTTACTGTTTGTAATTAATAAACTATGCTTTTAATTGTTTGAGTTTTTCTTTTTTGAAAAAAAAATACTAACTGAATTCTTTAGTAATTTAAAAAAAAATATTTGTTATAGTGTACAGTATATACCACTGCAGTTACTGCATGTAGCAAGGAATGTATTCTTGGGGAATTATGGTGTTTCCATGGCTGAGATCCGGTTTCCAAATAATTGAACCAGTTACTCTGCAAAGAAATTTATTTAAATATATTAATAGACATTTGAACCTTAAAAAGAGTCAACATAAAATTTATAAAGCATATACTCAATCTCGTGCTGAGTTTGTCAGGACTGTAAGAGGTTAAATAATATTTAAATAAACTTTTATTAGTTTAATAATTTATAGTTCAGAGATTTCAAAGGAATATATATTTCTCGGGTTGTTCTGGTTAAGTGATTCAAAAAAAAGTCTAATCAAAGCTATCAAAACAGACAAGAACAGGATTCCATTTGACGAATTGGAGGATTTACTTTTTCTTAAAGATCAGCTAGGGGAAATAAAAATGACTCTGGGACACATTGATAATCAAAGACTAAAAATTGAAAAGAGGAGAAAAGAACTTTGTAAAAGAACTTATGCACAAACTGCAACATTGATTAAGCTGATCACACAACCGGGAGGTGATCCTAGTATGCTGCAACTTGTGTACACAAGAGCATTCAGAACAAAAAACAACATAATTAATAAGGATGCAGACGATCTCAAGATTCTTATTCAAAATGAGATTTAAAATAAAATTGTTCAACTGCATTTTGATAGAAAGTTGATCAAGGTTACTAAATATGGTGACAATATATAAATAAAGTTGATGTATATAATAATTTTTTTTAAATTCTTATTCTCTTAATTCTTAATATAACAAGTGGTCCTGAAAATGTTCTATTCAAGGGTCTAAAGGAAAAGTGGCATGATTTGAATATTGAAAACTGCGTTACTGTCCACTTTAAGTGGCAATATTACCATGAATCTTGGTTGGAAAAGCAGGCATTTTGTGAAAGAATCAGCTTAGGAAGATTGTTGAAACTGGAGTTTTTAAAAATTGTCAGGTTGTTATTCGTTAAAGTGATTGTAAGATAAACTGAAAAAATTTAAATATGCGTTATGTAAATAATAAATAAATATAACTTTATAGAGTCTAAAGAAAAGAGCTGATTATCATGAACTAGCTGAGTTGGCCCTCATGTTCTTGGATCCAGAAATTAAACCTATCCATTCACAAGCCTAGTGCAGTTCATCGTGCATGGTTTATGGCTAAAAGCATATACTACCTTAAGATCATGCTTTTTCTTAATCAGACTAAGGAGCTTCTGAACATGAACAAAGAAAAGATCAACAAGAGAATGGCAAACTTTAGCTCCAAAGTTTTTGACTGCTGAAAAATCAGACACTTCAGAGATTATTTTAGAATTAAATAGATTACTTTAGAATTAAATAGATTACCAGGTTATTTTAGAATTAAATAGATTACTTTTAATATGCTACTATATTTTAATAAAAATTTAGATTATTTTAACTTTTTAAACCTTTTTAGGATTAACACTTCATATGGCAGATAGCCCACCTGGAGGAATCAGCAGCAGCAGTAGTTTTCCACAGTTGGGGAAAACATAACTGGTACTTAAATCCTACAACAGTTATCTTTGCCCTCACGAATACAGACAAGTCTGTACCAAATAGCACAAAAGAAGAGATAGCAAAAAAGCTGTTGCAACACCCTAGACCCAAGGCCTATGATTTTGAAAAGGAAAAATAATACTGGGTTTATAAGAAGTAAGGAAGAGTTTGTCTTGTTCGAAGAACCGCCTACTCTTGCAGATTATGTTGGTTCTGAGTCTTGGCTAATTTTTGATATTCTTGAACATAATGAGCTGCAAGTCAAATGGCTTTTGCTCTCTTTTACTGCATGGAGAGTTGATCCTGATTTCTTTGCTTTTAAAACTTTTGTTAATTCAACTCTAATTCAGCTCAGCAGCCCCCTCTCCCCTAAAAAGTGGGACCCTTAAAAAAATAATAAACTATAATGAATATATATTATATATTCATTATAGTTTATTATTTTTTCATTACTTTTATATTTTTATTATTATTATAGTTTATTATTTTTTTATTTTTAGATTCATGTTTTTAATTAGTTGTTTATAAAAGTTAAAGTAATGCTAGTTAAAATTTTAATTAAAGTAATGCTAAAAAATTGTATTTATATATGTGTGTGTATATATATATATATATACATATATATATATATATATATATATATATATATATATATATATATATATATATATATGCAATATATATATATATATATATATGCAATATATATATATATATATATATTGCATATATATATATATATATATATATATATATATAGCTATATTTTATTAAACCCAGCCCCGGTCACTTACTGATGATGATGATGATGGTGATGATGATAATGATGATGATGATGATAATGATGATGATGATGATGATTAGTATTATAATAATACTAATCATTATCATCATCATCATCATCATCATCATCATCATCATCATCATCATCATCATCATCATCATCATCATCATTATTATCATCATCACCATCATCATTATCAGTAAATGGGCTGGGTTTAATAAAATGTAGCTGGGGCCGGGGCTGAGTTTGTGACCGGGTCAGCATAAACAGTTATGCATCCTAAAATATTTTTTTTTAATTCAAAATTCATGTTATCTTTTGCATATATAAACATCATTATGATCAACATGATCATCATAACCATCATTACCATAATAATCATCATCATCATCATTATCACCATCATTATGATCACCATCATCATCATCATCATCATCATCATCATCATCATCATCATCATCATCATCATCATCAGGCTTTAGCCTTGTTTTTATACTGTTTCTCTAAAATAAACAATCTAGAGCATTTTCTTTCCTTAACTAAACCTCATTCATACAATATATAAGAAACTCTCTTCAAGTTTTCTTACTTCTACCATTACCATTTTCTCCTGAAGCTGCTACATCTTTACATGCTGATACCTAAATCACTTTAATCTTCTCCAACAAACGTTGTTTGATACAACAGTTTATTCTTATCTGTCTAAGATTATGCCTCCTTTTCTTGTCGTGTTAGAGTCACACCACACATTCATCTGATCAACTTCTCTTTTGGCAAATATTACATCATATAAATACTAAAGTTTATTTTGGTTTAAATAACAAACATAAATGTTTATACTCATAATATGTCTACATAAAGCACATCTTGGAAGCTTCAATTCCTTCTCTTCAATTTTAGTTCAAGCCTTATTCTGCATTTTACATTCTACTCTACATTTTTCACCATATTAGAACAATTGCTTTATTAATAATATTATTTTTACAAAAAAATATTATTTTAATTTGACTCTTGAAGCTTATGGCCACACTCTTCCTGCCAGTAAAACAGATTAACCCATTGTTAAACATCAAAATCATTATGGCTTTCAATGCTAAAGTTAATTCTCAATTAAACACTTCTACAGTTTGTGCTTCAGACAAGATTTCCATCATAGTTTTAAAAAAGTGTTCTCCAGAACTCTCTTAAATTATTTCCAAATGTTTAAAAAGTGCTTCACTTTTTTATATAAGTTTTTTTATATAAAGGTTTTGAGATGATTAAATTATTTCTTTCTAACTGCTGTATTAAAGTTATTCTTGAAGTCCTACACTCTTTTTTATTTCAAGTAACTTTAAGGGTACCACAACTTCTATCTTGTACTTCTTGCTCCTGTAATGTTTCTTATCTACAATAACAATCTTCATAAAAATTTTACACCTCAAGTGCCTCTATTTGCTGACGACTAAACTTTATACTCTTGTCTTGACAAAAAATCTTCACTTTTTGATTGCTTAGGACAAGCAGTCTGTTTTCAATCTGATATCTCTTCTGTAACAACATAAGGCTTGCAGTGGCTTATGAATTTAAAATCTGGACTTTAAATCTGCAATTTTTGATAGACAACAAAACTCATTTATTTACTGTAAAAAAATATTGCAATATTGTTGGCATTCCTATATTGACAAATAACAACCCTCTTACTCTCAGACAAAGTCTAAAAGCACATTGTAAATGTAGTTAGACCTGCCAAGCTTGAGCCATTCTCCCATTGTTGTAAGGTTGCATTTCTTTCTTTTTTCTACAAATACTATCACAGTCAATGCTCAAACAAGCTATCATCTCTATTCCAATAAACCAAAACTCATTCTTACCTGGCTTCTTATTCAACAAGTTGCATCCTTTAATTGTATCTGTGCCTTCATGCTATACTTATTTTAATTACAAATAAACTTTTAATTATCCAGTTTTTTACTTTGCACATCAAAGAATCCTTATAACTCTTTCTCATCTTCATGTTTTCCTTTTCAATCCTACAACTCTTAAAGTCTTTAAACAAATAAACAGTATTTTAACCTCTATTTTAAAGTAACTTGTAACTTTATAGTGGTTGCTTGCAATCTTGTTGAAAATAAATTAGAGAAAGTTAAAAATATATAAACATATGTCAGTATATAATAAATAATAAATGTAAGTATATAATTATAATACAAAAAGCATTATAAACTATTTTTTAGCTTTGGTTTTCAACTCCTGCTAAGTCTTATAATTTAGCCTGGGCCAGTTTGCAAAAAACTTTATTTTAAGCCAGGGCCAGGGCCCCGGTCACTTACTAATTATATCATCATCATAATAATAATAACAATAATATTAACAATAATAATATTTAATGTCATATTTAACTTATCAGGTCTAATAACTTCAGATTTGTTATTATAACATTTATAAACAAACTGAATTGTTTTTATGAAAAACATTAATTGACAAAAACACAACAAAATTGTATGATGCTTTAACATGTAATAACATCAACAAAGTATCTAAGTTGTAATAACATCAACCAAGTATCTAAGTTGTAATAATATCAGTTTTGGTTAAACTCTTAAGAATTGACCTAATAACTCATTTTCAATAATATAAATTTATTTAAATAATCTGAAATTATTTTCTATTAACTGTTTTTGCTTGTTTGTGTACTTAAATCCTTTAAGAAAAAATGTGAACTTGTTTTATATTTATATCATAATTATCATAACCTTTAAATATATACAAAATAATACACTCACCATGAAAACTTGACCCATTTATTAATGTTTTAGAACCATTTGTAAGTTTATATGATGTATTATTTAATTCATTTGATCCATTGATAAAATGATTTGATCCACTCATGGATTCAACATCAATCTTGCTTAAGCAAGAAAATGTTCCATTTAAATTTTTACAAACTGAATTTTTTCCACAAATATTTTCTTGCTTGCACTCATCAATATCTAAAAAAAAAAAACATTAAAATTAATAGTAAACAGTATTAAAAATAAATTTTTATTAAATAAAAGAAATAAGAAAAGTATTAAAAGTCCAAATGCAGACTAAATCAATAAGAACAACTTGACGTGCAAGCCTTATGAGATGATTTTAACAGTATATAATTACAACTAAGGAGGTAACTAAGGAGGTAACTAAGGAGGTAACTAAGGAGATAACTAAGGAGGTAACTAAGGAGGCAACTAAGGAGGTAACTAAGGACTCAAAAAATTTTTGCAACAAACTAAGTGAACATGGAATAGTCTAGGGATTTAAAATAGCAAATAAATATTTTCTTTTGTTCATAAAAATTAAATTTTGCACCATTTTATTGTAGCAAAGGTCAAACTTATCTTCATTATTAAGCTAGGTTGATAGTGTTATTTTTTGGATACCACTCTTCTTGATTTTTTGGATTTCATTCTTTAGGTTACCTTTTATTTAGACAACCCTCTTTTCTTTTTTTTTTCTGTTTAAACCTTTTTTTAACAAGCGCTAAGTTTTTTCATTTGAATGAAATTATCAATTGGTCTTTTATAATGATACTTTTCAAAAACACAAATTATAAAAAAATGGAAAGACAAGAAATGAAAGGTATGCAAAGAAATGGAAGGTACACAAGAAATGAAAGGTATGCAAAGAAATGGAACATACACAAGAAATGGAAAGTACACAAAGAAATGGAAAGTACAAAAAAAAAAGTCATTAGGTTATTGAACATAACCTAATGACTGGTAATGAATAAGGTAAAAAAACATAAATTAATGTAAAGACTATTTATTAGGAGGAGTAAAAGTTAGCAAGTCAGGAAGAGACAAACCAAAACTAACACTCTAGTCATCTCTTAGAAAATGATAAAACAATGATCTATGAGTAAACAAGTCAATAAAAATCTGCTGGTTTATTAATGGTATCCATAACTAAAATAATCGCACCATACAAGTGTCTAATAAATGTGGTACTATATATGGTCTAAACTCTAGATAATAAATTGAGAACTAATAATCACCTGTGTAACATAAAAATATATTAATTTTGTTAATGTAACAGATTCATAATAAAAAGCTCACAAAGCGCAAAAATTCATGGGTGTAAGAGGTAAAAAAATGGTGGTGCCATAATAACCAATTAGAACTAAATAGTGGATAAATGGTGATCCCCTTCCTCAGGAATGCACTGCGATCACCAATGACATTTTGGAGAGCCTGAGATCTGCACTAATGCCTCTCGTCAGGGGCATGTCCTTGCGACAGATCTCACTGCCTGCACTCTATGTCTTACTAGTCAATATTGCAATATAATAGGACTACACTACAAAAGCCAAAAAACCCAATCCCTATCCCAGTTTTTAAAAACAACTACAACATTCTTAGAGATCTCGTGAGGGTGGAAAAAAAAAAAAAAAAAAAAAAAAATATATATATATATATATATATATATATATATATATATATATATATATATATATATATATATAGGCGATTCCGCAAGAAAGAGGAAAAAAAAGCGAAAAAGTTATGAAAATACATATTGAACTCCAAAACTATGTTTTAACTATTTTGAAATACTTTTACGCAAAAAAGGTATTTAAAAAAATCATTTTATCATACCATAGCATGGTTTTAAAGTTGTAAGGGTCGTATAAACATGTTTTGACGCTTATATACAGTCTTAATGTGTAGTGTTGAAAATTGTATCGCATATCTATAATTAAAAACTTGGATAATGTTTTATTCCATTTTTTAAACATATTATGTATGGTTGTTGATAATTATTTATACTTTTTTTCTTACATCATTGATTGTGTTGTTATATTTGTTGTTTTTAAGAAATGGATTTTTTGTTACAATCATCATGGTTATAATCGTCACAACAAAAAAAAAACACAAAAAAGCTTGTAAAACTTCAAGTGAAAACTATGAAACTCAGCATATAATAACATCAATATGTGTTAAATACACACACCAAAAGATTTATTTTTACCATGCCATTTGCTGCATTAAGTCTGACAAAGTTGTTTTGTTCAGAAGTGGTAAAAAGTAAGAGCTACGACCGTCACACTACTTAGAGTTAATTTTTGAAAAAAGTTGAAGACTTTAATGTTGTAACTTTTACATACTAAATTATATGATAGTATTTCTCATTTCTGGAAAGTTTCAAGTCATTTCTGTTTTTGGTTGATTTTCACAATGTAAAGAGTGTCAAATTTTATAATCCCCACTCTCGCGGAATTGCCCATATATATATATATATATATATATATATATATATATATATATATATATATATATATATATATATATATATATATATATATATATATATATATATATATATATATATATATATATATATATATATATATATATATATATATATATATATATATATATATATATATATATATATATATATATATATATATATATATATATATATATATATTTATATATATATATATATATATATATATATACATATATATATATACGTATACATTTATATATACATATATAGTATATATATTATTGTTACCCGCAGTATCAGGAATTAGCTAAATGCTAATATTTGTATATATATATATATATATATATATATATATATATCAAAATAAAACATTTGTAGCAAATAGTGATTATCATTAGTAATAATGCAAGATAAAAATATAAGAATCATAATATCAATAACAAAAAATAGAATAGATAAAAAGAAGATAAAAAAATGGATAAAAGTTTAACAACTAGGAAAGGAGACGAAGTAGTAGAAGTCCTAAGCTTTGTGTAACAGAATTTTTTAAGCATAGAATTTTAGAAGAAGATAGAAATATTGAATATGCATTAAAGTAAAATAAAGAGAACTTGAAAAGAAAAAAAAAATGTTAAAGAAAATTAGGCAGGGGCAATTGCATAGGAAATAGTTTACTGTATATCTATTAAATATTAAATGGTTTAATAACAATGCCATAACCTTTTAGAGCCATATACACTTTATAGGATGATGAAAATTAGGGTATTTCATAGCGACTAGATGAACATTTATATATTTTAATGTTTTACTTTTAGAGTTTTTTTTTTTTATCTTTATTTTTTGAGTTTTATATTTTTATTTTTATTTTATGAGTTTTATATTTTTATTTTATTAAAAATTTAGTTATAAAGAATAACTAGGGGTGATTGCATAAATGATAGTTCATTGATTATTTTTATTGAGGAGAAACTTTTTTACATGGGTTATAAAGGCATTTCTATTTGTCATTTTGGATACTATTTTTTTAGTTTTATAAACTCAGCAAAGAATGAAATAGGAAGAATAAGTAAACACATTTTATCTGATATAAACACCAAGCTAAGAAATATTTTATGCATAAACCAGTGGAGTAACACACAGAATGTAACACAGAACACGCAGAGTGTAACACAGAACACACAGAATGTTACACAGAACACACAGGAGGTAGTTAAATGGTTCAAGAACATCAACGAAAAACATTTTTAAAAATTACTTGTTTTTTACATTGTTGACTTTTATCCTTCTATAAACAAGAAGCTTCTTATTGACTCTTTTTGTTTTGCTTAACAGTATATTACCATTGTTAACAAGCATAAACCTTTGATTCATTAAGCTTGAAATCCTTATTATTTAATAATAAAGAAGTTTGGATAAAAAAATCAGGCGATTTATTTGATATTACCATGGGAGCATTTGATGGTGCTAAGGCATGTTAGTTGATTGGAATTTTCCTTCTTTTCCAAATTTTTAAATTTTATAACAAGTTTGATTTTGCCAAAAAATAAAATAAAGTGCTTGCCAAAAAATTGCAACAAATCTTTTTTTTTCATCAAATGAAAAATTGTAAAAACACCTTTATGTATAAACTTTTAATTTAAATTTTTTTTTATCTAGAATTTTCACTTTGCTGTTTAAATTTTTATTTAATTTAGAACTTTCATTTTGCAGTTTTTATTTTAATTATCTAATTTAAAATTTTAAGTAAAACATTTGTTTTGTCGTTTTCATTGTTTGATAATTTAAATAAATTTTTTTACAGTTTCTTTTTTAACTATTTTATCTAAAATTTAAATGAAAGGTTCGTTTTGCCAGGTATCTTTTAATTATTTTATTTAGAATTTAAATATATTGATTGTCTTTCTGTTTTTATTTTAATTATTATGTTTAATGCTTATTTAAAATGCTTTTTTTTTTGTTGTCATTTTTATACAGTTAAATTCAAATCCTCAAATCTCAAAGTATACTTGAATTCAAGAGTTTTCAAATTATAGCATTTCAATCCTAAATATTAAACCCTAAAGGGATTTTAATTAATAAAACAAATTTGTTCAACAATCATCTTTCGAATTATAGGAGCTTAAATTACAAGAATTACAACTGTATATACTACTGATGAAAATACAAACCTTCGCATTTAAATCCATCACCATAGTATCCATTTTTACAGAGACAATAGTATGATTTTCCATTGCTAACACATTCTGCTAAACTATTACAATGTGGAACATCTTTATACCCAAATTTAATATTTGACTTGCACATATCTAAACTCATACATAAACATACATAAATTTTTTATTTATGTCAATTTTAAAAATTTCCAACAAAAAAAATTAAAAATGAAAGAATTCTTATTTTTATAACCTTCTATGAATTAAACCTATAAACTCTAAAAAAGAACTGCTAAAAAACGTCTTTAAAAAAGTGTTTTCAAAACATGATATATTATTGAAGTAAATGAAATATTGTAAAAACAAAAACAAAAAATTTCATAAATAATTAGATTTTGTTTATCATAAAAATACCAGGTTTGTATATATTAAATATTTCTTGTATTAAATAATTGTTGGTGTGCATGACATCAATGTAAACATGGTTATTTAATCATATAAATTTATAAAAGATAAACATATTAAGATTATTTCTTGTTTTATTGTACACATTTACAAAGCATACATGTGGGGAGGGTGGTGTTAAAGACAGCTGATACGTAGGCGACTACCTCTTGTTCTTTATCTCTCCTAAAACTTGATTTCTTTTTCTTTAACAAAAACATTAAATTTCACAAGTTTTAAAAATTATTATCATGTTGTATAACAGAAAAATGTCATACTAAAAATTATTATGTTTTTAATGTTTTGAAAATTAATGCTTTGAGGAAGAGGGGGATTGATTTTGTAATAAATAATGCATATATACGCAGAGGGAGGGAAGTAAAACATACAGGTGTGTACCAGGAAGAAGGGATCCAAAATCAGTAGTTTTACTGTGTACGTGCTTTATGGATGCCTCCAAAGCATAATTTTCTATTTTTAAAAAAATCACTGGTCTTTTGTAAAATTGAAAAAAGATGTTTAACATATTGCTTAAGTCCAATTAATATAGGATTATTTGTTAATCTAATAGGGTTTTAGGGTTAAATGGTTATTTTAAGCTGTTTTACAGTTAGGTTAATTAGAATTTGGAATATATCTCATGCACAAGGGCTCTCTCAAAAAAACAATCAAAAACTATTCTAATTTACTTAAAACTCCCCCTTAATTTGATTCGTTTTAAAATGATATTTTTAACACATTTCTTACCTTGTAATAAAAAAGTGGCAATACTAGAATCAATCTCGTAGCCTTGAGATGAAGCAGTGCAAAAGTAATGACCAGAATCAGATGGTCTACTTAATGTTAACATACTAGAGGTAGATACATTTAAAATTTGATGACCAGAATTCTGAATAAAAAATATCAAAATTAAAATAGAAAAATTTAGTAAGATCTAAATCTAAATAAATCTGTTATAAATAAATATTCTCATACATTTCTGTTCTCAGAAATAAAATAAAAGTTAACAACTTACATTTTTATTTTATTTCTGTGAACTTTCTTTTATTTTAATATTATATTTTTATTTCCTATAAACATAAATATTACAAAAAAAAAAGCAATTTTCATTTTCAAAATTCACTTACAATTAAAATTTTGTTCCATCTGTAGTTTAAATCTTTGTTTCCATAAGCTTTACATTGGTAGTTTTTTACCAAAGGGGAAAAATTGTTTTCATTGCTAGGTTGGACATATATAAGATTGCTAGGTTGGACATATATAACAGGTATGTTTGTATTAAACAATTCAAACAAAATTCCTAGAAAAAAAGAAACTTTTAATAAGAAACATAAAAATCCTCTTTAACTTTTAATAAAAATATAGCACTTACCATCTCTATATACTGCAATATTGCTTTGTTTAAGCAAATTTATCTCACTTTCTTTAGTGCATACAATGTAAAGTTCCATAAATTGATGCAAATTTAAGAAAACATGCTTATTGAATTGATGAACAAACAAGTTTTCTTTTATCATAGTTGTTGTAAAAGCCTCTCCGTCATCCAATTTGCCATCTATTACCAGAATAACTGAGCTATTATTAAAAAAATTATATATATTATTATAAAAATTATAATATTAAAAAAAATCTAAACAAATAAAATAAATAACAAATAAGTCATAAAACTTTATTTCATCTTAAGTAGTTAAACTAAAGTTTATTCATCTTATAATCTTAAGATGACCAAAAATGATGTCATTTTTAAAAGATGATGTCATTTTTAAAAGATAATGTCATTTTAAAAAATCTCTAAGATACCTGTTTTCATTAGTAAATAAGTTTGCAATAAGTAAATATCTTCCTTGAAAATAAGCTCGATATTCAAATTCATACACAGCATGAAACTTTGCTTTTGCATTACAATACAACATATTGTGTTGGAAGTTAAAACTTTCAAAATTTTTCAACTCATTCCCATGATAAACAGCATAAACATTTACATGAAACATTGATGTATTTATTGATGCTATTATGTTCTCCTCACCTTCAAGATTAGCCAAAAACATTATTTCAATATTATCACAATAAGTGCAAACAAATTGCATCAACTCGTTTGTTTTATTGCTCATTGTTACAAGTGTTATTTGTGTCACATCCCATATTTTACTAATTTCATCATGAAGATTATTAAAGTTTAAAAGTTGACTAGTATTTTTATTGATTTGTGATGAAATTTTCAACATAATTACATAGATACCTGGTTTACCAACAACTAAAAAATAAAAGTCTATAAAAAACTGGTTTGAAGAAAACAAAAAAGTTTTGGAAATTAAATTATAAATTATACAGAAATCTGGTTCATATGTATTTTTATAAATTTATAGTTATTATTAATTTTTTACCACTTGAAGCATTAATTGGTACAGTTTCAGGGAGAATTAAGTTAGAAAATCCAAAATAACTTGCACTCTTAACATTTTCGGAGATCCCATCCAAAATTCCAAACATAACAGAAGTTCCATCCAAGACTTCAAACCTTAAACCATCTGAAACTTTAAAGTTGATTTGAATAATGTCACCAAAATGAAAAAGAAGAACTCCTGAGAATTGCAGTGTTACTTGGGGTGACCAAGTAAATAACCTTTTGGTTGCACTAAAATGAGGCAACAGTTTCTGACCTTTTTTAGACATATAAACCTCAACAAATTGTTCAGCAAAATTATTTAATGACTCAAGTTTCAAATGAAACACAACTGATGTAACAGCAACAAATGTTTTCAAAGCAACAAAATCATATAAAAAATTAACAAACTGACTGGGCTTGCTATATTTTGGAATAGTAAAAATAATGTCACCAGTAGATTTGGCAAAAGTTGGAGAGATCACAGCAGTAGCAAGTTGGGATTGTTTATTGGTAAGCATAAAAACTGACACAGCGTAATGTTCTTTGACTACATTTATGTCATTCAAATTATGTTTAACAAAGAATTGCAGACAATCATATTGGTTTAAGTAATATATTTTTACAATTGAAATTGTTAAAAATTTAGAGTTTGCATTTGCTTGATACGAATAATACTTTTTTAATTTAAAACCAGAATGTAAATGCAACTCTAGAGTTATTTCCATAAAATCAAAAAAAACACTAGCATCAATGTAAAAAACTGCAGTAATGCTATAAACACCAGGATGAATAATCTGTATTTTATCTTTATGCAAAGAAATACTTTTTGAAAAAAATACTGATCTTTGGTTAGGCTCTTTAAAAGTAAGCATAATGTCTTTGTTTTTTTCTAATGCATCATTTTTCTCATTTGCAAGAGATAAACCAACAGAGTCCTCAAAAATATTTAAATACTGTATTTCAAAAAGAATACTAATTTCATTTTCTAAACAGAAAAAAGGTGACAAACACTCTTGAAGAATAGAAAGTGAATCAGATGTTCTTAATAGCAAAACAAGAGGTAAAAAACATGAGGATAAATCTTCATGAACACATTTCCAGATATTCTGTTGTAATGTATTGCTTTTGTAAACCAAACTAAAATTGAATTTCGTTTCTTGTGTTTTTTCGCTAAAAAAATTTATAACAATATAAAAAATACCATCTTGAGTAACTTTTAAACTAAGCATGTCTGTACTCAAAACAACTTTTGTATGGTGTCCAACAAGTGCTTTTTTAAATTGTATATACCTTTGGTGACTATTTTTTTGAAGACTACTGTTCCCAGCATTATTAATATATAAAGAGTTACTGAGCGGAAATGGAATTCTAAAAATTGTTAGAGAACTTAAAGGTAAAATTGTTAGGCTAGATAATGTTTCAATGTGACACAACAAAGATTCTTTTTGCATAATGAATAATACATTGACAACAGATATTATATTAGAGCTTGATGATGTATTAATAGAAATTGAAGACTTTTCTTCGCCATTTAAAGAAAAGCCAACTTTTATTATTGCTGTTTCGTTAATAAACATAACCAGCTTTAGGCTGACAAAGTAATATCCTGTAGATGCAATTTGAAAAGCACCATTAAAGTATACAAAATTTGTGTTGATGTTCCAACTAGTAATTTTTAACAAGTTCACCAGTATTCTTTACTACTTCTTCATTCATTAAATTAAAAAAAAAAAAAAAGTGGTCATGTAGAGGATTCCATGTAAGGCTTTCAATAAAAAATATGGAGTACTGAGATTTCGATGAAACAACTCCTCCATTTTCAACAGTCACTTTAAATGTCAATTTTGTTGTAGAAAAATATTTTTTAACCAATGCAATTGGAATAGTTTTTGAAATATTACTGTATGAATGTGAATGGTATAAAATGTCTTCAGAGGCATAACAATCACTAAAGTAAACACTCATCTCACCACTAGCATTGACCAGAACAAGATTAAGACTGATTAAATAAAAGCCATCAATGGGTACTATAAAGTTTCCTGTTGATTTAGAAAAAACATTTCCAACATCAATATTAGCTTTCCAATTTACTAACAATTGTTTTTCAGCTCCAGGTAAAACTTTCATCAGTTTTGGTGATGCTAGAAAACCTAACGAGTGGGGATATGAACAAATAAATTGCATAGTGAAACTTGATTTTGATAAAACATTTATAAATGCTGAAGAAAAAATATGCACTTGAACGCTAGCTGCTTCATCTATTAAAACAACCCAATTAGAATAAAGAGTTTTTGTGTAATTTTGATTGAAATCTTCACTTATATAGCACTTTGTTTGAAAATTTGCTGTCACTGATATCTTTGTCATGAAAAATGCACCAGATACAGGCTTTTGAAAGTGAATTTGTAAAGATACAAAATATAACCCTGGTCTTGTGGCATAAAACGTTGATTCATTTTTAATGTGAAACCCTTCAACAAAAACACCTTTTGTTGATTGCTTGTTTCGCCATCCATTTAGCAATGCCCATTTATCTAATGATATTATTAATGGCTGATTACTATTACTTTCGTGATGACGATAACTTGTCTGATAATTTTCAAGGTTAACCATAAAACCATTCTCCGGGTACAAATTAACTAAATTATAATATAATAATAATTTCAATATATATATATATATATATATATATATATATATATATATATATATATATATATATATATATATATATATATATATATATATATATATATATATATGTATATATATATATATATATATATATATATATATATATATATATATTTATATATATATTTAATACATATTATAAAAGGATATGTTTTATATTTCAGAGACCCATGTAAGGGTCTCTGAAAGCTTGACAAGTTGATGAAAAGAAGAGGAAAAGAAGTAAAAACCTCCGAAAAATGTTGACATAAAGTTAATGGACAGCTGTTAATGCTTTTATTAATGGCAAACTCTAATACATTTACTATATACCTATTTTTATTAAAGTTAGGATTTTTAAAAACATTAATATAATTGTTTTCAATAACATTTAATAATAAATGTTAAAAAACAATACAATTTAATAATAAAAAACTTAATAATAATTTAATAATAAATAATAAATAAAAAATGTTTATGCTTTTATCTTTTCCTCAACCTGTTGATTAGACATGATAATAATAGAAGCCATACTATTAAATTTAGAAATCTTCTATTTAAGAAAAAATTATAAAAACTCTAAAGCCTTCTTTCAACACTTTTATGCTTCTCTGAAAACTATTTTGTTATGATGTTTTTACAACCATATGGACCTGATAGTAAAAGACCTTTCACTCATGAATAAAGAGAGCTTATTTGTACATGAAATGCTAAAAATTAAAAAATAATGAAAAACTAAAAACCAGAAATCATAGATAAAATCAAAAAATTTGATCTGGAACAGATCAATATTAACTTAACTGAGTTTAATTGATTTAGCAATTAAATTAATCTTCATTCACAATTAATAATTATAAAAATTAATCTTGATTTATAATTATTATTTGTATTCAATAGCCTTATGATAAAGTTCTTATTCTGCAATTTCAAAATAATGTTAAATAGCAATTCTGAACTTCTGATGCTCCCTACAAAATCAAACTTTGTTCAAGTTTAAAAGAAGTTGACAAAATAATTTATCCTAAACTTATGTTCAGTTGTTTTAGGAATAAATGTTTTATTAAAGTTGACTAGTTTCACAAATTGTTTATCAAAGTTGACTCAAAAAGTAACTTTTTGAGTCAACTTTAGGGGGTTTTTAAAGTTTCAGCGGCTTCTGGAAACTTTTTAATTGTTTTATAATTTTATTTCGAACTAATTTTAAATGCTTAAATTTTTTTGCTAATTTCTAATTTTTATTTCGAAAATATTTAACACCATGCCGAACAAATTGTATTGCTTAATCTAATAATTATTAGGCTGCTTTTCATTTAAATCATTTAAATAATTTAAATATAAAACATTTAATGCTAAATATATATTTAATTGAATATATATTTAATGTTAAATATAAAACATTTTAAATGTTTTATATTTAAATTATTTAACTTTTTATTTACATGAAAATTCGTTTTGCACTAGACAAATTTCTGAACGTTAAAATATAATACAACATTAATTTTGCCAAAAGACGTAAATTATAATAAAAACTTAAAAAAAAATTTAAGAAAATAAAATAAATAAAAATTTTTACTAATATAAATAAATTTATTTTCTAATCGTTGTAATTAAAAACCAAATCATGAAATATTTAAACATCGCATTTAACTATATAACTATATTTTCAAATTTAAACAACATTCTAGGAAATTAATGCAAACAAAAAGCAATTTCCTGGAAATAAAAAATGACCTATTTATGCTCGGCCTAAAATGAAAATTTTCGCTGGCTACTTGCCCAGTTAAGTATCGGGCCGGGCCTAGGCTGTAATAAATAACGCTTAGGTAGAGAATAGAGTAATGTAAAAATATAGTTATGATGGGTATTTTCTCTGTTAAAATCAAATTCCATAGCCTAAAACCATTTAAATTTTTTTAGCCCTGGCAGGGGACGAAAATACGAATTTGATGTCTACAGAACACAGTGGGCCAAATAGCTGTTTTTACGGACATTAGATCATAGTTTTTGAACGGAAAGTGCTACGAGGTTGATTAAGAACTTTTTGGAAATGTTTTTATGTGTAAAGAGGTATAACACCCATGGTGTTTGCTTTCGACCCTCTTTCCACACTTCGTGTGTCCAACTTCTGTTAAAGATTTGTTGTTTAGAAACCCCTAATAAATATTAAAAAACCAAATCATGCACACACGAGGGGTGAGAGTAGATATTTAAATTTTGCTAAGCGTAGTTTAAAATGGCTTATCAGCGAGTCTTTTCAAAGTTTCTAACATGAATTTCTTCATATGAATTTCTTTTTATCAGTTTATTCTTATATAAGGTGATGTGTGAAATTAAATATGCATCAAAACACTTCAGAAGAAAGACATTGACTTAGATGAAGCTGTTCTTGTATTAAATCGAGTCAGTGAAAATATTCAAGACTTTAGACAATTGTATGAACAACTGAAATTAGAAGCTGATGAACAAACCAAAAAGTGGGGAATCAACACTAATATTCAGGCAAAAAGACAACCACGCTAAAAAACATATTGATGAGTTGGCCTCAGGTTATCGCATTGACGACAAGGAACATTTATTTGAAGTTGAAGTATTTTATTTTGTTTTGGACAAAATAAATGCTCAGATTAAGCAGCGTTTTATAGAGATGCAAACAATTACAAACTGTTTTGGATTTTTTGAACCCAAAAACATTGTCAGTTTACCAGAAGCAGAGCTTTTAAAGTTATGCGCCAACCTCAAAAACAAATACCCAGAAGTAATATCCTCTGAGTTTCAAATTCAGTTTCTACGCGCAATTTCTTTAATAAAAAAATAATTAAATAAAAAAATGTCTATAAAAACTTTTTCAGAATTGCTTCTCACGAAGTACAACTGCTTAGAAAGTGAATTTTCTGAAATCTTTACTGCTTTTATGTTGTTCTTTACAATTTTAGTTACAGTAGCCACTGCTGAACGGTAATTTACCAAGTTTAAAATTATAAAGGATTACAAAAGAAATTCTATTGGACAAAGCAGGTTACAGAATCTTGCAAAACTCTCTATTAAACATAAAGATTATGAGATCTTGTCAATGATTTTGCAAACGCAAAGGCAAGAATAAAGGAACTTAACAATATTCTAAACTTGTTACTTAAGTTGTAATATTGTATTTTCATGAACGACTAGCTCACAAACCTTTCTGCGTATTAAGTGATTTTTTTTTAACTTTAATTTGTTAATTTGCTCAAATATTTTAATAATTTTTAACAAGAAACAAATGTAAAACTACAAATACAAAATTACGAACACAATTTTACTTTTATAAATTACATTATGCCGAGTTAGATCATGTGGGTGGGGCTAGGGGCCCTCCACGAATTGTTGCCTATGGGCCCAAAATTTCTAGCTACGCCGCTGGATTGAAGCGTCATTTTTTGTTGCCTCATGAATTCCAAACACATCTACAATTTTTCCATTTGATATCGAAAATAAAAAAGGTTTAACCAAATGTTTTTTTTTCTGTACGCTGAATGTTTTTTGTTGAAAATAGTTGTTGCTGCTCTTTTAATAATAACAGTAAGTTCCGTCAACAACTAATATCAACTGAGATTCTTTAGCATTAAAGATTTCTTTAGCCAATTTGCTATTATTTGCTAACCATTCATCTCTTGTTAAGCGGCCTGCTCCTAAGTTATTAGGGATGAAATCTTTGACAAAAGCGTTTCTAACTTGTTGCATATATCGGGGTACTTCAAAATGAGAGTTAATACCAAAATAATCAGCGATCGTGTATTGATCACGGCCAGTTTGTAGCCAAAATAGAAAGATGGCTAAAATTTGAAATTTAGATCTATTACTGGTGTGTCTGAGTGAAATCAATTCTTCGCTTAGTTCTTCAAATTATTGTCTATAGAAAACTTGTAAGTTATACGCCTAACCTCTTTTAGAAAAACTAAGAAATATTTTTGCTGTAGGATATTTAGGTCATAATTTAAAAGAAAAAAATATTAAAAATTTAATAAAACTTGTTTTTTTATTGGTTATGACAAATATATGTATAAATGTTTATAAATATGTATGTATATTTTCTAATACAAAGATGACGTAGGTACATCAATGACAAAAAAATAAATAAAAAAGACCAAAAAATGTACTAAAATACGTGATTTATTCAAATGTAAACATTTTAAAATTTGTGTCATCTTTAGATAAAATGTTATTAGAGATATTTTGTTTATGACAATATTTATCATCTTATATCCTCTTTCGTACCAAAATTTGCACAACGGTTTTGACTTGTATTTCTTGTCAAAAATAATTTGATCAGATGATATTCACATTCTGTTAATAGTGTCTGTTAAATTGACAATTTAGGAGTTTTTTCTTGAGAGTCTAGTATGTATCAATCTTAATATTTTGTTATTACCTTTTAAACCTGAATCATAAAGATTTCCCAAACCACTCTCCTCATTATTCAAAAGTAGCTTCCAGGAATGACCATTCAGCTAGTGAAGTGATAGTGTTATACTGGTCCATGGTCCGGATAAATTTATATTTGTACCAGGCAGAAATTCATTTAATAGGTATATACAATGGCTTTTACATTGATCCAAATAAACTTTTATTTTTGAAGAAAAAACTTAAAGAATTTGTGAGAGGACCAATTCAAACTTTCGGAATGTTATATTAGCATTATATTGGCAATTGTGCAATAATTAAATCCTTGTTTAATTTTTTCTGCAATAGTTTTCTAGCTACATCACCCAGGGCCGCCGAGAGCTGTCACGCCGCCTAGGACAGCAACCCTGATTTATCAAATTTTCCCTATATTATGTTCGAAGGACCTTTTTTTTTTAGGTACCTACATTTCACTTGGCGTCTCTTGGATATCTGCCGCCCAGGACAAACTGTCTCGGTGTCCCCCCCCTCTCGGCGGCCCTGATACAACCTGTTGTTGTTTTTCTTCTTTTTCCAATTTTATCAGAGTAGTCCCATTTTATAGCTGTTTTTTTTTTAATATCTCTGTTTGAAATGAAGCCTCTGCTTGCTTCTGAAATCTATTTGAAGCACTGAAAGGGAACTCAGAACAATCAAAAATACCAGCTTTCACATGTACAACAGTCTTCATGAAATAATCAAATGTGCCCAGTAAAGCATGAAGAAAGTGTAATATCAATGAAGAAACTGAAATATCAGTAATTTTTAAATGTAAAATTTTTTAATATCAAGTATGTTCACATATTAAGAATATAGAATAATATGGACACTATTACAAGGTAACAATTTACTTGTTTTGGTTTTACATCACAGGTTAAAATTGGTTTGAAGGTTTGTCCGGTCCTTGTGATATAATCAGGGTTTTTTTAAGTAAAGAACTGTCTTCTTGTTCAAGTTGGTATTTGTTTAATATTTTATTTATAGTTATAGTTTCTCGATTAATTACAAAACAATTTTCAATTCTTTCAATATTTAAACACTGATCTTTTGAGCATGTGTACAGATCACAAAATCTTTAACTCCTAAAAAAAGATTCTCTGCTTTCATATCCATCATCATTTCCCTCTTTATAAATAATGAAACCTTTATTTTTTAAATCTTCAATGTCAGAATTGAAAACAATTGCTAAAGAGTTTCTGTCGATTCTTTTCTAATTTGAAGCGCTTTGTGACCGAATGGGGCATTTAATGAATTTGCAACTATATTAAAAAACCTGTTTTTTTTTTTTAAGTTAAAATGGACAGAACATTGTCAGTTTGATATTGCTAGAGTTAACATTATCTATTTAATTAAGTTTTTGGTTGTTTATTTTCCTTAGCAATAAAAATTTCAAATAAGTCAAATTCAGTGAGCTTCATTATTATTAAACTAAAGATATAAATATTTTTGTTGATTCATTTTCTAAAAACTTTTTAAACAAAATGATTTAAACTTCAAATAATATAATTCAAAATATAAATAAGTTTACGTGATAAGTAAAAATATTTTATTATTACTATATACACCACAAAGCACTCAGTTTTAATTTTAACTCTTGCAATTCATTTATTTTAAAACAGATTAAAATGCAGCAATACTTTTTTTTATTATTAATGGCTGTACTAACTAGATTAAATTTGGTCGAAAATAAAAGTTCAATGGAAAAGAGGGCAAGGGAGGCGGTGGTAGAGAAGTTTGTTAAAAATTGGTTTTAATCCTTTTTTTAAATTTCTATACATAAACTTTTACTTAACACATCTTCCCCTTTAAAAAATATGTACAAAATAATGTAAAGCTATTTGCATTAACATTTTTAAATATATTTTACAAAAATTTAAACTAATGGGGTAGGGTTATTCTTTTCCTTTTTTTGTTTAAAAGTGCTAAGTTGGCACAATTTAGCGAAAAAGTATCTTATTCCTCTTTGTTACAGGAGTTTAAAACTATATGGTTTTACTAGTGCCAACTTAGCACTTTTTGAGATAAATTATTTTTTCTCATAAAAAAGTAGTTACAAAACACCAAAATTTTGCTAAATTTTAGTTGTTTGATTAGGTATTACATATAAAAAAATTTTGTGCAATAATCTATGAAGTTAATATATATATATATATTAATTTACATATTTCAAACTAGTATATTTCCTGAACAAATCATGTTTTGAAATAATTTTTTTTAAATGAACTGGAGGTTTATTTGGCTTTAAAAACAACTAACTTAAATTTATTTTGGTAACATTGATTTTTGAGCAATATCCACTGTTTTGCCCACTGTGCAGAACCAAGAGTTAAAAAAAAAGCGTTTCAAAGTTTTTTGGATTATGAAATCCATCCAGATTCAATTACTCTAACCAACTTGTGTGATGTGACGATGACGAACCAACTTGTCTGTTGTCTGATTTGACGTCAACTCGATGTTTTTCATCCACAATTTATTATGCATTGACAACTTCTGTTAAATTTAAGTCAAAAAAAGTCTCAATATTAAAATATTTTAAAATATCGCAATGTATTTTTGAAATCTTGAATTTAAAAGTTTCAAGAAATTATTTTTTTTTACAGTTTTTTTATATGTTTTTATGTTTCTTTATAGGAGAACTGAAAAAGTACTTAAAGATACAACGGTCAATAATTTCTTATTTCGTTGGAACTATTTTATTAAATGACCTTTACAAAAAGTTTTATAAAAATAATTTTATTGTTTTTTTTCTTACTGAAAAAACATTTTATTGATAATTATCATCATTATTTATTTAGATTATTAGCTAGTATTTTAACTCAATATTACGAATATCATGAAAAAATTATTAAAGTAAAAAATTTTTTTATAAATATTACAAATATATTCATTGCTTTTTGTTTTTCCTTATAAATATATAAATACAATTAATACTTCAATATGAATACAGATAACCGGGGCAAGAAAAAGTCACAATTTGTCTTTCGTCAAGACCTGAAAAGTGTTTCACATTTAGTGAAAGGTGTTTATGTAGGTACGTTTTTGTTTAGAAAGTTGAAAAAATTTAAAATAAGTCAATGACATGACAAATATCGCACCTTCCAAAAACAGGCTTTGAAATAATTTCTATGGTTTTAATATTGTTCGTACTGTTAGCGAACTTTTTAATATAACAATTTTATTTTTTATTCCAAATATATGTAAAGATACAAGAGTTTTTTATCAGCTGTGTATTTTTTGTCAAGTAAAAAACTGTTGTTTATGAATAGCGCTTAAATGACAAAAAATGGAAATCACGACAGCGTTCCATTTAAACTGAAATTATTTTTTTAAAGTGAAACTTACCTTGATAAAACAAACCGCAAAACATAAAGTAAAAAATCCACAAATATTTAATTATTTGGTTACTCATACTTTTATTAAAAATTTAAAATTGCCCAAAGATTTTCGTACGTTTAAACATCTTTAACGAAAAGTTGATTTTTTGAAAGAATACAACTTTTTTTACAATTTTTTTTTAAAAACAATATTTTTTTAACAAGAGGTTATAATTATTAAAATAATTTTAAGACTTTGTTGTTGTATTATATGTTAATTTCTTTCTGCTTTTTTATCATTGTTTCCTTTTTTGTTTTGTTTTTAAAAGATTTAAAAGACCTTTTATAAATCAAAATGAAATACTTTACTTTTATAATAGGATTGTTGATTTCATTTTTAAATTTGATTTTAAGTTTTATCAAAAATCAGATGCATTGCTATTAATAAATTATTGCGGATATTGTTTTTTTTAATTATATTTATATGATATCGACATTTTACTTTTTCATAGGGGTGGAGTTTCTTGTGATCATATTTTCGTGGAAAAAAATATGATCATAAGAAACGGGTAACTGTTTCTAACTATTAGAATGATCCTTATAGTCACGAAACATTTTTTTTTTTTTTAAGAAAAAGCATGCAAAAGTTTACAAAATTATTTCAAAGCATTGATCTAATTGGGATAAGATGTATTTTTTATCAACAGATTTTTTGCGTGACTTAAAACTTACCAGTTTCTGATTAAAGGCTTGATTACAGGGTTGGCAAAAACCCGAGTTTTTTTAAAAAAACCCGGCCCAGTGGGTTTTTTTGGGTTTTTTTGGGTATTATTGGGTTTTTTTGGGTTTTTATTTTTTTTAATTTTGTTAAAAAATTTTTTTTATTTGATTAATAATATTGAAAACTAATATCATTTTTAACTTATTTAAGTTTATTTTTAATTATTTAAGTTTATTTAGAATATATTTTATAAGTTTTTAAAATTTATACACCTCAAATTATTTTCAATAAGTTTTTTTTTATTACAGTTTAAAAAAAATCTAAAAATGTGAAAAAATAAAAAAAAATCATGACAAACCTATATGCATTGATTTATTTTAGATTTAATAATAATACTTTTTATAATTAAAAATGCCGATGGGAAGTGGGAGAAAGAAAGCTGGAGAATGGGATGAAGTGACTGAAGTTGAAAACAGTACAAAGGTTTCTTGTGACTATTGTCATGCTTTGATTAGCAACAAGATAGAACGAGTAAAACCCCATTTAAAACATTGCCAAAAAAAGTTTAAGTTTTTACACAAGCATACAGAAAGAGAAAATCTCAATTTGTCAAAATATTTAAATAAAAATTGTGATGATGTACCAAATAATGATTTAAATATTAGTGCATCTGCTCTAATAGATGGACCATCATCTCTAATAGCTGGACCATCAGCTAAAGTTGGAAAAAGTTCTTTGGCATCTGTAAGTTCTATAAGTTCGTTAACACCTTGTAAGAAGCAGCGGTTGATGTCATCGTACACAATATCAACTAATGTGGAACAGAAAGAAAATATTGATATAAAAATAGCAAATTTTTTCTTCAGTGCAAATGTATCATTTAAAACTTCTGAAAATCAAGAATTTATAGACATGATCAGTTCATTGAGACCAGGATACAAACCACCTAATCGTAAAATGCTAGGAGGAGAGCTCTTAGAAAAAGTTTATGAGGAAGTAAACAAAAAAATGATGGATCAACTTACCCAAGAAGAGAAAACAATAACAATTATGCAAGACGGATGGAGTAGTGTTACTAATGATCCCATTATTGCTCACAGTGCATATGACGGACTTAATTCTAAAATTTTATGCATTACTGATTGTGCATCAAATAAAAAAAACAGCCAAGTATTGTACCGAACTCCTTTGTAATGTCATTAAAGATCTTAAAGAAACATACAATAAAGAAGTATTTGCTGTGGTAACAGATAATGAAAATAAGATGAAAAAAATGAGGGATTCAATCAAAGAAACGTATCCAAATCTTTTAACATATGGGTGTTCTGCACATTATTTGAACCTTTTAGAAAAAGAAGTAACACACCCAGATGTCATCAAACATGTGGTTGAAGTGCAGAAATATTTTCGTAATACACATCAACCGCATGTAAACATTATTTTGTATTTGTGGGTTAAACTTAGAGTATAAAAAACATATAAAAGTTTAAAATTAACTATTCAATTTTTATTTTAAGGGATGGTTGCGTGAGAAAGGAGGGCATATGCCTCAGTTACCAAACGATACCCGATGGAACTCCCAAATTGACTGTATAGAAACATACATAAAAAACTACCAAATTTATGTAGAAATAGTAGATAATCATGATATACCTATCAAAATCAGAAAAATTATTGAAAATCGAGCAATATTTAGAGAAGCTAACAGTCTTCAAACCCAACTCAAAATATTTGGTGTTGTTTTAGATCAAGTATTTAATTTTTTTATATTAAAGTTTTTTTACATAATAAGATTTTGTAGGTGTAAAGGAAAAGTAATAAAAATAAATATATTATGTTAATTAAATAAATTAAAAATTAAATTTTTTCTAGATGCAAAGTGACAGCTGTCACCTATCCGAATGTGTTGAGTTGTGGCTCTCACTTCTGAATAACCCTGAACTAAGTCATTACCACACAGCTATTAAAAAGAGATGGAATGATGCTTTGACACCTATCCATTATCTTGAAAATGAAGATGAGGCTGAAGAATGGCTTTACAATCATTATCCTGATTTTGTACCTGGGTTGATTTTGCTTAAATTAAAGGATTGTGATGCATTTCCTAAAAGGATGTTGAGTAATCAAATTATATCAACAATATTGTGCAGTGATTGGTGGTCTATCATTAACCAGAGAAATGAAAAATCAATTCAGAAAAAATTGCCTGAAGGATTTTGCAAATTTATTTCTAAACTTCAAACGTGCCCTGCTAGCTCAGGATCAATAGAAAGAATATTTTCTTTATTTGGTTTTATTTGGTCAAAAGTTAGAAATAAATTAGGATGTGAAAAGGCTAAAAAGCTTGTGCAAATATATAAACAGTATCAAAAATAGTTTATAGTTTATGTTTTTACATTAGAGTTTATGCTTTTACAATATAAAGTGAATATTACATTAAAGTAAAGTTGTAATTGCAAGAAGTATACCAAAAATGTAAATAGTCTTGTCAATGTGTATCTATTCTAAAAAATCTTATTGAATGAATCTAATTTGTTTGGTTTCCAAAATAAAATTGTGTTAAATAAAAATGTTGTGTTTAAATTGAAAATTTCCCTTTATAGCTAGCTCTATAATATGTTTATGTTTTCAGAAATGTTGGTTAATAATAGTATATATTATTAATATAATAGTTCATAAGTTTTTAGATATATTTCAAAAAAACCCAGATTGCCTGGGTTTTATTGGGTTTTTTTAGGCGGGTTTTATTGGGTTTTATTGGGCGGGTTTTATTGGGCGGGTTTTATTGGGCGGGTTTTTTAATGCCAACCCTGCTTGATTATTTATTGGTTGATTTTCGCCTTTCGAAATATTCACATCTTGAAAAATACCATTTTTAATGGTCAGTTTGACCTCAGAAACCTTGGGACCTTCTCCAAATTTTCTCGCTTCGAAGATAGATTAGAGGCGTGAATAACGTGAATTGCTTTTCCAAGCGTAAAATTTTTAAATTTTTTCCTATATATTGTAAATTAATGTAAGGCTTTTAAAAAATGACACGCATTCAAGTTTCTATTTAAGACCTCAAAGTTAGGCTCTCTCCTTTGATTTCTGTGTTGGATCAATTGATGCGTTTATGAAATGCAAATGTTATGCTTTAAAGTTGTGAAAAACGCCATATACAATTCAAAATGATAAGATAGATGAACTCTCTCTCTCGTTTTTTGATGAATGAGTGCTGTAAAGAGCATATAGTGTATAAGTGATGCATTTGAAATAGTTCAACGCAATGTGCTCTTTCTTGCATCACTTACAGTCATTTTAGGAAAATGAGTTAAGCAATGCTACGCAACTAGCCAAAGTAACTTCTGCTTTAGTAGTGTGAAGATACCAATATTTAATCCAGTTATAACGGACACACCATCACTGCAAAATCTTGGTAAATTGTTGGATATAAAAAAATCTATACCAACTAAGAAAGTTTAGAGTCTGAGTTGTAGTTTCTGCAACATTGGTTGCATTTTTCTCGAGTAACACTACAAATATGTTAGTAGGAAAATCAAATTTTAAATTTAAATTTAAAAATTAGTAAGAAAATCATCAAGTGCATAATGAAGTTTTATAATCAAGCAATCTTTCCCAAATAAATTTGTGCTTTCATCGTTTAGATGAAAATTTATTTGGGAAAGAAGCTAAAAGTTAAATATTGACTTGTTAGTAGATTTATCTGCTGTTGCAAAATAACCAAGTTTAATGTAGAACCACCTTTGGTCACATGTTTTAAACAATTCTTCTCGTGTTGAATTTAAACTTGAAATGCACTTTGAAATTTGTGTATCAATTGATTCAGTCAATGCTATTGAACAATCAGCTCTTAAATCTGCAAAAGAAAATTAAATGAATTTTTTTTTAATTTTTTATTGGACTTTTTAAACGTTTAGAAATAAAAGTGTTGTGTAAAATTCCTCCTATTTTTTGAAATGTTATTGCCATGATAATTAACTTTCCCACTTTAAATTTCATCTGTAACGAGTCTATTTACACAGAAAAGTTTTTTTAAATTTGAATTTAAACCATTTAATAAATGCTTCCATTTAATCAATTGTTTACCTTAATTCGACAATTTTTATTCATAAAAAAGCGAAACCTTCACTTCTCAAGTTTAAAAAGTGTATATACACTAGTTATGTTGATCTCAGCAATTTCGTTCGTTCTTTGTCAAAGACGTTATAAAAATATATTATTGATAATGTAGTCTATTTTCATATTCCAAATATTACTATGCAAACTGATTTAAATAATTTATTTGTATATTAATTATTACTAGCAATATTTAAAAGCTGAATGCCAATTCATCAAATATATTTTTGATTCAAAAAAATAAACAATTTAGAGTTTAAATGTGAAACTGTTATAACTTTAATATATCTACAACAAGAAAGTTTTAAAACATTAGGTATTTGTTTCTAGATTGTTTTCCAGTAATTATTACTGGAAATATTACTACTATTTCCAGTAATTATTCAGTTAAATTTTTATTCAGTTAAATTCAGTTAAAAATGTGATTATTGTCATTTATGATGGATTACGCTTTATATAGCTTTTTAATATTTGGATTTTGTGATGTTTTAATAGGTAAGCGAGAGTTTATTTAATTCTGTTTTAATGTATAAAAAAGTAGATAGGAAACTCCTAAAAATAAGCAATACTAACCTATTTATACCTGAAAAAAATAATATTAATAGTAATATATTTAATATGTACCCGATAAATATGTGAGTGTAAGATTTATACTTGGACAGCTCAATATTATTGCCAAGAAAGTTAGATTATTTCCATATTTTAAGTTTTAAGCCTTATAAAAATTTACATATGTCTTGTATTTCAAGATTATATTTAATTTGATAAACTTTTTCAGAATGGCACAGCTTTCTTGATTAAATAACTTTTTCAATTTTTAAATTTAAATAATGTTATATTTATGAAACAAAACCCTATCGTACAGGAGTTGTTGTTATAAGAGCATTACCATTTCTGTGCGTAATTTTTTTCCTTTTGATTTTACAATAAGAAGCTGACACTCGAAGCAATATACAATTAGACGCTGGTCTTTGAAGCGTTACATACTATTTATCTTAGATAAGAACAATAAAGGTGTTTTAATTTATTGTTTTCGCCACTCTATAAAAAACTATATTAAAATAAAAGTAAGTTTTTATAATTGTATTAAAAAAAGAAATTTAAGATTATTAATTTATTATAGCTTTCGTCAGTGGCGGACTAAGTTTTTTAGGGGCCCAGGGCAATTTTTTTTTAAGCCTTTTTTATATGACACAGCGTAAAAAGTAACAAAAAAAAAATTAGGTCCTTAAAACTAATACGGGGTCCCTAAAATTGTGGGGCTCGGGGCTATAGCTCCCCCTAAACCCCCTTTTAAATGTTCTTACAAAAGATTTCTCCTTTAATAATAATAATTCTCAAACAAAGTTTTCTTCTTTAAACAAAGTTATCAAGACTCAAAGTATTTCATTAATGTCAAAATATTTCATTAAATGTATTAAATGACGCGCGTTTAGTTAGTCTTAGACAATATTTCTCACAAATGAACGTTCCTTTGCAGTGAATACGTGTGGCTGTTGAACCATGTTTCTTGTTACAATTTGTACTATAGAATACTTTTTTAAACATGTTGTGTCAAAAAGTTATCGGCTGGATAACTTTTCGACAAGTTTAAAAAAGTATTATATAGTATATTTTGATTTTAGCGTGTGCCACTAATGGTTCATTAAGTAACCGATTAGCAAAACTCCAACGAACCGCTCAAGATGCATATATATGGCAATGTAAATCCATTACATAAATGTTTTTTAGGATAGTTTTATTTGTAGTAAGCTAGTATTAGCGGTTGATCGTGGAATGAAGATTTTAATTGATTCAAGTGTTGATAGAAGTGACGGGCTTCTTGAATACCTGTATAGTCAAAAGTCTGGGACAATTCATTTTCAGCGCTGTAAATGTATTTTTGGAAGAGTATTATTGCTGCATTTAAAAGGCAGCAACATATGAATCAAGCCAGTACATTCAAAATTAGTCTCGTTACTCAGCTCAATTAAATGAATCCGATTTTTGCTTGAAAAAATATTGTATATTTTAAGGCCAAGTTTTTTATGAAAAAAAAAGTTTATTTTAAGGCAATGTTTGTATAAAGAAAGTATTGTTCATTTGAAACAAAATGTTCAACGCAAAATTTATTAAGAATAAATATGGTTTAGTTGCTGCTGAGGCTCAGTACCAAAATAACTGTTATAATTCTATACTTGAGACGAACCGCTGGATGTAAAATCGATCATCCTCAGGATAAATCAACAAATGATGAGATGAAAGAAATATTTACATTCATTGAAATGATTGTCAGTTTTTATGAAAAGATTTTAAAAAGTAATTGCAAAAATACAGGTTTAGATAACAGAAAAATAAAAACGCGAAAAAGTTTGGTAATAATATTATTATCACTGAAAAACCGGCAGATTAAATTTTTTCTATTTTTTTTTCATTTGGATGAGATAAAAAGCGAAAGTAAAAAGGAAGAACAATTTTAATTAAAACCTGCGGCAGCAATCATTTGAGAAGACATCAAATCATAAATATTTGTTAACATCGATTATCCTTCGCCTAGTCTATTGTTTGTGGATGTTAGCAACGATATTCCAAAGTCATTAACTTTTTTTTTAGAGCAAGTAATTCCTAAAATCTAATCATTTAAAACTATTGTGTACAAGTATCAGTCATATTACTGTGTCTTGTTAGGCCTAGATCTTTTAAATTGAAATTAAAATTAGGCCTCTCAGTTCTTCTCCATCGACGGTTTGGTTCAAAATGTTTTAAACAATTTATTTCGTCTTTTGGTTTATGCGCATCCTACAATGACACTGCGATTTATGAGGCTTAGGCAGTTTTTTACTCTCTACCTTTTATGTTACCACCATAAACAGGCGCATTTATTCAATATATTACAGAAATGCTGATATAAATGTAAAGACTTTAAACGACAATAACACATTTCACATAATGGGTATCGTTCAAATTGTTACCACGGAAAGTTACACAAGAAGATCTTATACCACGAATAAATAACATAATTTCTTATAACGATATTGAAAATGTCGAAAATAATGAAATATGTGAAGCATTACTCTATCAGTTTAATTCAAAAATAAAAGAATTTGAAAGCAAAATAACTACAGTAAACATATGGATTCATTATTTTAATGTGTTGATTGCAAAAAAGCTAATTATAGCTGAACACATGAGAGCTTGGAAAGCTTCTTTGAACAGCATTAAAGAAATGCTTCCTTATTTCTACTTATCAGGGCATTTTCCTTAAGCTGCGTCTGCGCACTTGTATTTGCAGGAAAACTACAATTAAAGAAGTTAATGAATTGTTGTATTTATCAGGGATTTACAGAAGAGATATTGACTGTTAGACTCAATTGTGGTAAAATTTTTGAAGGTAATTTCATATTCTTTGTTTGATTTTTTTTTATGATAAAACTTACTATTTACTGGAAAAAGATAAAAACCATCATTTTTTACTTTTGACCTTTAATAACCTTTGTTTCAAATGTGGGAAATGTGTGACTTTTAATACTTTGTTTGTAATAATGCCCCCAAGGTGTGCACCAACTTTCAGTTCTATGCAAGTTATTGTAAATTGAAATGTCTATTTTGACAGGCCTTATCTTATATTAACAAGAATTCAATGTACATATATTTTGGATTATGCATTTAATTACTAATTGGATAAATAATAGCTTGTTTTTATGATTGTATAAATTGGTTTACAAGAACTTCTTTTTTTAAAATTTCATCATAACTTAACACAATTAATTTTTCATGTGTTAAGCTATAGAAAAACTATTCTGTTAAGATATTCAATTTGATAAGTTTAAATTCTGTACCTGAGAGCCAACTTGTCTTAACTCCATTTTTGGGTGAAATGAGTTATATACATATCTAAAATCTCCGTCGCGTAAAAAAACTAACTTATCATCAAAATGTTATTATCAGCAAAATTGCTAAATGCATTGGAATTCTCTATAAAGCAAGAAATATATTAAGTAAACACCAGTTAACACAATTATATTATTCATTTATACATTTTCATATAAATTACGCGAATATTATATGGGGATGCACTCACAGAACAAAGCTAAAATCTCTTCACCTTCATCAGAAACACACAACTCGAGCGATAGATTTTAAAAAATGGCTTTTTCATACAAAACAACTTTTTAAAGAAATGAATATTTTAAATGTATATCAACTAAATGTCTTTAATATTTTATGTTTCATGTTTAAATGTAGAGAAAATTTGTCGCCAAATTATTACAAAATCTTTATTGTATAAAACCTAAAAACGAATACAATTTTCGAATTAATAACAATCTTATTGCCCCTTTTTGTCGTAAAAGCAAAGACCAGTTTTTTGTTTCTTACCGAGGTCCTTATCTCTGGAACAAAATAGTCTTACCAAATTATGATTTTTCCACCCAACTGACTTTTGCTTCATTCAAACAGAAATTTAAAGAAATTATATTCTTAATTGAAAATATTTTGATTTATTTTTAATTGCTTTTGTTGTTGTTGTTGTTTTTTTATTTTTTATATTATTTGGTTTAACATTTTATCTTGGCTTTTTAACATTTATCTTGCCTTTTTAACATTTTATCTTGGTTTTTAAATATTTTTGCATAAAGGTGTATTATTATTTCACTACAAACATTGTATTTTTATTAAAAATTAACCATATATTGTAAAGGACTTCATGTCAAGATCCTCATGATCTTCTTGAAGTTCTGTCGTTACTAATGTAAAAATTGTAAAATATATTTAGTTATTGTAATATTAAACGGCAAAATATTTTCTGAGCTTTTATGCTACTGACGTAGATTTTTAATGCTCATTATTTATTATATGAGTAAATTTAGCTCATGCTCAATTTATATTATCAAGCTTTTTAATTTTATTCTTTTAGTTCCTTTTTATAATTTTTTTTCATTTACCAGGAAAATTTTTTTAAATCACTTGACCTTGCAATTTATTTGGTTGAGATATACGTCTTCTCAAAATATCTTCTGAGCTTTTATGAAAACATCCAATTGATTGCAAAATTTGGTTAAAGCCCTTTTTATACTACCGATTGCGCTCTCTACCTCTTACTACTGGTTGTTTTTTCTCTATCTTTACATCTCATATATCCTTGTATGGAGTATTTTTTTGTTATATAATATAACAAAAAAAATACTCCATACAAGGATATAACTTATATTTGAGCTAGTTTTTTTAATGATGTTTTTCTATTCTAGACAAGCTACGCTCATAGCAACGAGTTTGTTTGTTCATTTTTTAACGTTTTTGTGTCTTTTAAACATCTACATTGCTTAATCTATTTAATTATTATTATTAAATGTTGCTACGCTACGAAACAATCATTTATTTTGTAAATTTAAAATTTGTATGAAATCCAGTCCATAATTCACATAAAGTTTTTTTTTTTAATTTAAAATATTTTTTTAATTATGAATTTAGAATTTTCATAGGTCTGTTTTGTTTAAACGTAATTGAACTGTAATAGA